CCGCCGACACGCCGTTCGAAGATGGCACATTCCGCCTGGTCATGAACTTCGAAGAACAATACCCCAACAAGCCTCCGGGTGTGAAATTTATAAGCCAAATGTTCCATCCCAATGTGTACGGAACCGGTGAGCTTTGCCTCGACATTCTGCAGAACCGCTGGAGTCCGACATATGATGTGGCGGCTATTCTTACTAGTATTCAGAGGTAGGGCAGGCTTGGTTATAAAAGATCACTTTACAGGTACTAATATGCGGCCTGTCAATTCTAGTCTTTTGAATGACCCTAACACCTCATCTCCGGCTAACGTCGAGGCCTCGAACCTCTACAAAGACAACCGCAAAGAGTACACCAAGCGAGTGCGAGAGACGGTCGAGAAAAGCTGGGAGGACAATTGAGCAATCAAATTCGCTCAGCCGAGTTCGGTGGGCTGATATTCTTATGAATGAGCACAACGGCTTGACCGTTTGATCTGCACAGCATGGGGTTTCCGGCGCTTGGTATCTTATTCTTTCAGGTTGTGTATTCTTTGTCTTCTCTTTCCTTTTTTTTTTGACGTCATCTTCTTTTCTTCTCATCTTTTTATCTCTTTTTCGATATCTCCAGTTCCTCATTCTTCATCCTTCCCCAAGACATGCCAGGTGGGTTTACAAGAATAGTCCCATAGTTTTTAGTGCATTAGCCTGCTTTTCCTGAAAAATTTGCGCTTTGATCCCTGGGCATGTGCATTGTAAAGAATACAAATGGACATGCAAGTAAACGAGATCCTCAATGATATGTTTCCTTGTATAGTTCCCTATACATTAAGCTTATCTGCAGGGTGGTTGCATATCCGAGTCCGGGGGCGGTAAGCCCAAACGGGGTGACTGTCAACAGTTGAAATCCCACTCTTTCGCGTCAACCCCCTCCCCTGCAAACTCCCGTTGTAGGTCTTCTTGGTTTGGCCGTCCTTTCTTTGCGGCCTGACTGCTGTTTTATCTTTTTCTTCATTCCTTGGAGCGTTTTGGTCCACGGTGCACGTGGACCCCCTGATCCTCAACCCCCTCCTCCGAGCCACTACACCGCAACAGACGAGTTTCCATTTGAAACCCCTCTGACGAACCCCGAGGCCCACCTACCCCTTTTTGGGGGGTCTATGTTCTAGTTTGCGCGTGTCATAGCCAAGTCACATTCTCAAAATATGGCGTGAGTATACACTCGGCCCTATCGTGCGTTAGCCATCACTAATATGGTTACACAGGTCCGCGGGGTCGAACACCATCAAGGGTATGCGCAGACTGTCACAATAATTCAAGGCGCGTTTTACTGGAACAAAGACTGACTGGTCATATATAGTGGTTGCTAGGTTCCGTCCGCAAAACAAGGTCGAATTGGCCTCTGGGGGTAAGCCCATCGTTGAATTTGAGAATGAAGAGTCATGTAGCATCAACGTGAGTTGGAACTGAAGCCAGAAACCACAAGGGCAACGTTAACAAATACTTCAGTCCCGAGAGGGCACAGGGGCCTTCACGTTTGATCGGGTGTTCCCTATGGACACCGCGCAAAGCGACATCTTCGACTTCTCCATCCGACCGACTGTGGACGATATTCTAAATGGATATAACGGAACGGTTTTTGCCTATGGTCAGACTGGTGCCGGAAAATCATATACGATGATGGGTTCCGACATCGATGATGACATAGGGAAAGGTATCATTCCACGCATGATCGAGCAAATCTTCGCCAGCATCCTGACTAGCCCGAGCAACATCGAGTACACCGTACGGGTCAGCTATATGGAAATTTACATGGAGCGGATCCGTGATTTACTTGTGCCCCAAAATGACAACTTGCCGGTTCACGAGGAGAAAGCTCGCGGAGTTTACGTTAAAGGATTACTGGAAGTCTACGTATCTAGCGTGCAGGAGGTCTACGAAGTTATGCGCCGAGGAGGAGCAGCACGTGCAGTCGCTGCAACCAACATGAACCAGGAATCGTCTCGCTCCCACTCCATATTCGTTATCACCGTCACCCAGAAGAATGTCGAGACTGGGTCCGCCAAGAGTGGTCAGTTGTTTTTGGTGGATTTGGCTGGTAGCGAAAAGGTCGGAAAGACCGGCGCCAGTGGCCAGACTCTGGAGGAGGCCAAGAAGATTAACAAGAGCTTGAGTGCGCTGGGAATGGTCATCAACGCATTAACCGACGGCAAATCGACACATATTCCTTACCGTGACTCCAAACTCACTCGTATTCTCCAAGAATCCCTTGGTGGTAACTCTCGAACGACCTTGATCATCAACTGTTCGCCCAGCAGCTACAACGATGCGGAAACGATCTCAACTTTGCGTTTCGGTGTGCGCGCCAAAGCCATCAAGAACAAGGCCAAGGTCAATGCAGAGCTGAGCTCATCGGAGATGAAGCAACTGCTGCGCAAGGCCCAAAGCCAAATGACAAATTTCGAAAGCTACATCTCAGCGCTTGAGGGCGAAGTTAGCATGTGGCGTAGCGGCGATAGCGTTCCCAAGGACCAATGGACCCCTTCGCGGGGAAACGAAATTGTCAGTGCTGCGAAGACTGAAGCCCGCGTCCCACGACCAGGTACCCCCTCGCGTTTGCAGGAGACTGCGCGTTCAGAAACCCCGCGCCCAGATTCACGGGTTGGGGATCGGTCCAGCACTCCGAGCCTGGTGCTTGAGAAGGACGAGCGTGAGGAATTCTTGCGTCGTGAGAATGAATTCCAAGACCAGCTCTCGGAGAAGGAGTCACACATTGTCAACGTGGAGCGCAGCCTCCGCGAGGCACGAGACGAGCTTAGGTCTATGAAGGAGAATGGCGCACGAACTGGCAAGGATAATGAGCGCTTGGGCACAGAAGTCAACGAACTCCGCATGCAGCTCGAGAAGGTCTCCTATGAGAGCAAGGAAGCCGCCATCACCATGGATGGCCTCCGGGAGGCCAACTCGGAACTCACTAGCGAGCTGGATGAGGTGAAGCAGCAGCTTCTGGATGTCCGAATGAGGGCAAAGGAGACTACTGCGGCACTTGATGAGAAGGAGAAGAAGAAGACCGAAAAGATGGCTAAGATGATGGCTGGGTTTGACCTTGGTGGCGATGTGTTCTCCGATAACGAACGGAAGCTGCAGGACCTCATTCAGCGCGTCGATGCTCTCCACCGAGTCAGCTCGGAAGGTGAAGTCATTGCACCAGACGACATCCTCGACCTTCGCACGAATCTTCTTGAGGCGCAAGGCTTTATCCGACAAGCCGAGCTGACTGTCAATGACCGAAGTGACTTTGGCGAGCTGCAGGACAGCCGTCGTGCAGACTTGGAAAAGAGGCTTGATGACCTTCAACGAGAGTATGAGGGTCTCTTGACGCGCAACTTGGGCGAGGGCGATGTGGAAGAGATTCGAGGACGGCTAGAGCAGGTTTATGTGACAAAGAAGGAGACTGAGATTGCGGCGGCCGAGGATCTTCGTTCAGACATTTCGCGCAAGGATGAGGAGTTAACCAAGTTGCGACAATCGCTCGTCGACACCCAGGCCCGAACCTCCACCAATGGTGCCGCAAGCAAAACTTTGCAGCAGCAGATCACCGAGTTCGATGCCATGAAGAAGTCTCTCATGCGTGACCTGCAGAACCGCTGCGAGCGTGTCGTCGAGTTGGAAATCTCCTTGGACGATGCCCGAGAGCAGTATAACAACGTCCTTCGATCATCAAACAACCGGGCTCAGCAGAAGAAGATGGCCTTTTTGGAGCGCAACCTCGAGCAATTAACGCACGTACAGCGTCAACTCGTGGAACAAAACAGTAGTCTGAAGAAGGAGGTGGCAATCGCTGAGCGGAAATTGATTGCAAGAAACGAGCGCATTGCCAGCCTGGAAGCACTGCTCCAGGAGAGCCAAGAGAAGCTTACACAGGCCAATCACCGGTATGCGTTGACTTATTTCTCGGGACATCGCTTGATGACATTCGATACTAACTACACTGATAGATTCGAAGCTCAACTCACCGCTGTTAAGGAACGCCTCGAAGCAGCGAAGCAAGGGTCCACCCGCGGCTTACCGAGCATGGATGGAAATGCGAGTTTTAGCTTCGGAGGGTCGCGCATCGCGAAGCCACTACGTGGGGGTGGTGACGGGCCGGGGAATGCGAACGTCGCGGGCGTACAATCGCAAGAAGCGACCGGGAAGCGCAGCAGCTGGTTTTTTGATCGTCGATGATCCTAACCCACTATCAGAAAGCTGCTCGTTCCTTGCACAACTGCTTCTAAGGCTTGATGGCTGTCTGCCGTGCGCCCCAGATCTCGTGCAATTCGTGCTTCTTTCATTAGCATGTGGTTGATATTGATCTATATTGATTCCTCTTTACGCTGTCTCACGAGTTTCCGCTTTTTCTTCTTCGATCATCTGATCAGCAGGTTTTTCTTCTTGTTTCTGATGTGATTTTTGATACATATTTTCTTTCCCATGTTTCCTTGCTTTTTTTTTCATTCCAGTATATTAGATCGTGCCCTGCATACTGGAGACTGGCTCTTGCGTCTTCCTGATACCCTTGTACATCAATTCCGGATAGAATGGAGAAGAGCTGGTAGTTAGTCTGTGGGCCGACTTGAGTGATTTCGATGTGACATACTATTATACATGAGATGATAATGGATTGGTTTTATCCCCGTCAAAGCCGGCTCACCATTCCCGCCTTGCTTGAAGGTTATGTATAGAGTCAATTAGCACATAGTCCAAGTCAGATCAAAGTCAAGAGTCGAAAGCCAAGTTGGTAGACACTGTATACATACACTTCACTACCAAGGTTGTACTTGTCTAAAATATACAAAGATACAAAGACATGGGGGGTAATCAAAAAGATGAAGACAAGAAGAACACAAAGTAAACTAGAGAAACAGAGAGAATAGAAGAAATAAAGAAGATAAAGAAAACATAAAACAGAGAATATGCAATGCATCCCCCTCGCCCGTCCAAAAGAGAATGCCTCACATTGCGCCAGTATTCGCCCAAGCAACAATCTAAACCAACCCGTCGTAAAGCGACAAGGCACTGACGATGGTTTCATCCCGTTTGCTGCCTTCTTTGAATTCCTCAATGTCGAGACTGCCATTTTCATCCTTGTCCATCATCCGGAAGATCTTCCGTACACGTTTCTCTGGGGTATCTTCGTCCTCGGGGAGTTTCACCATGGATCCAACCTGCGTTCTCGTTAGTCATTAGGATATGACTTCACAAACCCTATTGTACATACCATCTTGTAGATCGCCTCGACAATGGCCAGCATTTCGTCATAAGTGATTTTCCCATCGCCATCGATATCGTACAATTGGAATGCCCAATCCAGCTTATCCTCCATCTTGCCCCGCGAAGTCACGGAAAGTGCGCAGATAAACTCTTTGAAATCGATCATACCACTGTTGTCCGAATCGAAAACGCGAAAGACATAATTGGCAAAGGATGATGGGTCGCCGAAGGGGAAGAACTGCCGGTAGATCTTTTGGAACTCTTCCTTGGTCAGGGTACCGGACGGGCAGTCCTTGAGGAATCCTAAATATGCCCACAATCAGCGATCGCTCTTAAACCTTGTCTTATATGTTAACCCATATATATCCGCATACCTTTATACCATTGTTGTAGCTCCTTCTTATCGAAATGTGTTGCCCTTTGCAGCTCATCGAGCTGAGTCGGCGAAAGCTTTGATTGACTGCGGAACATGGGGTCAGCGCAGGCTCTCTGCATTTAGGTTCGCGTGACATTCAACATCTCAGACCGGAGATATGCGGCCTTCGCTCCTGACTCCCCTTGGGATAAACGTGCATTCTGGAATTCGCGGGGTCCATTCCACCGCCATTTCAAACAAGGCAAGAGGATGATAGAACTTACGACTTTCCCATGATCAGAACGACCCCTCTAGGACAGAATCAAGCACATCAACTTCAAACCAAACCGGGGAGAGATGGCCTTGCAATGAGCTCGGAGTGGTGACGCGGGGTAATAACAGGCGGGATGTGTGGCTGAGGTGTGGCGAGTTGTATTACGCAAGGGGTGCCCCTAGCGATGTAAGATGAAACAAGACGATAAGCGAACTAATACAAGAATTCAGGAGGGGGTTCTAAAGATAGAGAAGAGGTTGAAGATGAAGGTGGCGAGAGAACGGGGGAGTCCAGAACATCCCGAGGCCCTGGCCTTGGCACTTTTCTATCAATTTGACGATCTCATTATATCGGCGTATATACATCTGAGTCCACTTTCATTTCTCCATAAACAAAAAATTTGCAGTCTATCTGCAACGAGGTAGACCTCTCCAAGCAATGAGGGCGGGGCTTTCTTTTTTTAGAGAAAGAAAAGTGAACAAAAAAAAAAAAACACACAAGAGCAGGGAAGTATTCTCTCGTGAAGACCCCAAGATGCAAGGCTAAATGTTAAAAGCACCAACAGGAAGACATTTAATCCACCTTGATTGACCCATAGATACGGTGGATAAATGCCCAACTGGCGAAGAAACCGATGGAACCTGGACACAAGTCAGCAAAAAAAGCCCATCCGGAAGACACGGGAATGAAAACGTACCAGTCAGAATAAACACAATGAAGGCGATCAACGCTGAATAGCCAACATAGAGCACCGCCCCCGTCAATCCACCAAAACTGACTCGTGTCGCCCAGAAAATGAGCGCATTCACAAAGACATATCCTCCGGTCATACCCGCACCTATAAATGCGCGCCAGTGCCACCGGTAGTTCTCCGCACATAGTAAGAAATACACTAGCAAGACGGTAGTAGCCGCAGAGGTAATGATCATCAGGCCGTAACAAAGGAACAGGAACCCAAACATGTAGTAGATCTTGTTGGTCCAGAGGGAGGTCATAATGAAGTACAGCTCGACGAAAATTGCACCAAAGGGAAGAATACCGGTTAGCAGAATCGACGGAATTGTGCGCAGACTACCAGCCATCGGAGGAACCTGTCGGGGGATTTGGTTCGTCTTGGTAGGACCCTCAAGCGGCTATTGGAAAATGAGGTTAGTTATTTGAATGTCTGTATATGGGGGAGAGGGGATTTGTATAGTACCGATTGTTTGAATCCCAACCAACTGCCTGCCACACTCAATGGCACACTGATAACAAACCAGATCAAGACTAGTGCCAACATAGTTCCAAATGGTACGGCACCGCTGGATCCCTTTGCCCAAACAAAGAGATTCAGCGTGAAGAATGTACCGAATATAATTCCAGGGATGAACAGAGGCGTCATGATAATGTTGCGTCTCCAAGCATCGCCACCGAATGTCTTATACACTCGCGCTGACACGTAACCACCAATACCACCGAAAAGGGCGGAAATCAGGAGAATGGCAGTAGCGAGGAATCCACGGTTTGAAGGAGAGAGGAGACCAAGCAGAGCAAATGCTAAAAATTAAAATCAGTACCCAAGAGGAGAAGAGAATGAGTCAGACTACCTACCGACAGTCACACCGGTCATCATAAACAGTTGGGCGCCATTGCCAACCATCACACTTAGCAGCAGTGGAGATTCGGGGCAACGGAAGACATCGCCATGGACCAACTTCCAGCCAGAATCCTCCTGGACTCCGTCTTCGATCGCAGCCGAAGTACTATCCAAATCCTCCAGGTTGAACGAATCCAGCCGGTTATAGCGAGCAATATCCTTCTTGAGTGCGCGGACTAAAATCATGCTGACCATACCCACGAGGAAAACTACAAAAACAGCGGAGTTGATGAGTGAGAACCAGTGAATCTTGGGGTCATAGACATGAAGATACTTGTCCCATCGAGTAGCCCAGGCTGTGGGGGACTCCTTCCAGTACACACTATACGTCCAGGTGACTGTGGTATCCCCGTCCTCGTTGAGCGTAAGACCATTGCCCTGGGTACCACACTCAGCGGTCCCACCTTCTAAATTCCGGGAGTCCTTGCGAGACTCGGGCTGGACAAGCACTCCAACAACGCGATATTTATCCTTGCCGCCGAAGCCCACCTTATGGTAATCAATCACAATGTCGTAGTGATTGTTCAGAAGAGCCTGACCGTTGTCATCTAGCTCACCCAGAGAAAATCCAGGGTTGTAGAATTTCGTCTTGGTAACACCGTCATAGTTCAACTGCGCGGCTGGCAGCCCATCCACAATCCAGTTGATGTTGTAGCCCTGAGCTATTCGACGATTGGTCCACTTGGCGCTGCGGGCATCGAATTTGGCCTCTGCACATATCGATTTACACGTCTCGTTCTTTGCCATGTGAAGCTCGAATGGTGAGGTACGAATTCGATCACCGAATAGAATGCTCCCCAGAGATTCTCTCACATCTTTAGGACCGTCTGCGGGTCGGCAAAACCCAAACGCTGGATGGTAGTAGTCATATGAGAAGACCGAATGAAGCTGATCATCGCGAGAGAGGCTGGGGGTGAGGTGGTTGACATAAAGTGGAACTGCTTGTCCTTCGTCGTAGGAGGTCGGTGCAACACCTGGAAGGTAAAAGGCCGTAGTCAAAGAAGGGATTGCTAGTAGAGCCGACGAGAGAAAAGAGGCTCGATCGATGAACCGCATGTTGAGTGCGTCTATAGAATTTGGGAGCCTGGAGATCAGCCTCAATTGTTTGTTTGGGAGAGGATAGGAGTAGAGCTAGGGTCGCAATGGGCGATCGTGAAAGAAAAGGGGATTGCTTACAGCGAGAAGCTACCCTAGAAAGAGAAAATCACGGTCTCATCCGTGAGAAACTCGAGTTACTCGAAGAGAGGTAAAATGCCAAAGTAACAAACTGCGAGTGACAGACTGGCAATGACGATCTAAGGATGCCTGGCTTGATGCCTTGGTGCCTATTTTCTTTATCACACGTGACCATTGTTATCGTCGAAGCGGCCAAAATTTTTTGTTTCGCGAATTATTGTTCTCTATAAGTCATCGACTCTCAATCATGACCCCAGCACAGGCGTCTGCACGCCCTCAAAGTCTGTCAACGTTGCTAGAGACTCTGAATACCTGTCTGTCGACAACAGCCTCCTCTCTACCCAAGCCACACAAGGATGCGCCTTCCGATGTCACGATCGAGCCCCCCCAAGACGGCATCTCTCTCCTCGACACCAAGAGTGAAATTCTCCTCTCCTACTTGCAAAATCTCGTATTCCTGATTATCTTCCAATTGCGAAATGCGTCGGCGAAACAAATCCCGAAGGAGAAGAGCCAATCTACGGGTAACTCCCTCGAAGATGATATTCGCAAGAAATTGATCGAGCTTCGGGTATTCCTCGAGCGTGGTGTTCGTCCTTTGGAAGGACGATTGAAGTACCAGGTGGACAAGGTCATCAAAGCCGCAGAGGATGCGGAACGGACGGAGAAAGTTCAGGTGACTAAGACCAAGAAAAGCCGCAAAGCCGCGACATCAGACAGCGAAGCCTCATCGGATGAGGACGAAGATGCGAGCGGTAGTGAGGATGAAGAGGATATCGATGAAATGGCCTACCGACCCAATGTTTCTGCCTTCTCCAAGGGGGTGGCCGATCAGAAGAAGACCCAGCCCTCTAAGGGCGCCGTCGAAGGACCCGGAGATGGCATTTATCGCCCCCCGAGGATCATGCCAACTTCCTTGCCAACAACGGAGCGTCGCGAACGCCAGGACCGCAGACCCATTCGATCTAATGTCATCGATGAATTTGTCAGCGCTGAAATGTCGTCCGCGCCCATGGCTGAGCCCAGTATCGGTAGCACAATCATTGACGGTGGCCGAACGGTCAAGTCAAAGAAGGACCGGGAGCGCGAGGCAGAGCGTACCACCTACGAAGAGACCAACTTTGTCCGATTGCCGAAAGAGACCAAGAAGGAGTTGGCTAAACGGGGTCGCGGAAAGGATACTACGTACGGTGGTGATGAATGGAAGGGGCTCAATGAGGGCGCAGATAACATTGAACGTCTCACCCGGAGAACCAAAAGCAACGGAGCCGCACTCGAAAAGAGCCGGAAGCGAGTCCGCAACGAGGACGGGCAGCGCGGTGATGGTGTTGGCATGGGTCAGATCTTCGACAAGCGGCGAAAGAAGGTTGACAGCTGGAAGCGGTAAAAAGTGATTGCAACAGGCAATTTTCATGTTCAAAGGCGTTTCTTTCTGGAATTCAATCACTTTGGAATTCTCTTGATTACCCAAGGTCAATCTTGACCAATGCATATCTGTATCTACATTCTACGACACACATTGAAGGATATGATTTCACCGCATCAATTCGGTCTAACTGTGTATGTCTACCTAAGTACACATGTATGTTTTATGCCTCACCGCCGGAAGATAATGACTCGGCATGCCGATAAAGACCGACATCTGGCATACTCCTTCCAGGGCTGACAGAAATATAATTTTGGATATGGCCTCTATAAATCATGTTATATTGATCAAAAGTCAACACTTGTTTAAGGGGCACTTATTTAATTGGATGGCTCCCAATTGAGGTGACTAGGCACGACACATGAAATTCACATGTTAAACCCAAAGCTGGATAGTCGAACATGACGTCACCGCATCCCGTCCGGGGTCAACTCTTGATATCTTTTGTTTCTTTTATTTCCAACAACACCAATTGAGCCTTGATCAAAATGGAGAACCCAGGTAAATTCTCAGTCTATCCTTCTCGGTTTAGCTCCTGCTCATCTCTATAGTGGCCGATATACCTACCGTTATCCAGCGTCTGACACAGTCGCCGCCGTCTTTGCAAGAAACCGTCCTTAAGCGGTATTTCACCAACAATGCATCCTTTGTTCATCCGTTCTGCCGAGTGCCCAACTTTGAAGGTAGCAGATGGTGGGTCTCAAAGATATTTCAATGGTATAAGATCATGTCACCCCGGATCGAGCTAGATATTCATTCTATTGGTATGTCAAACGAGAAGTTCCAAGGTTGTAGACAGCATAATTTTGACTGCAAAATCTGACCAATCCTCTAGCATTTGATGAAGATAAGCTCAAGCTCTATGTGAATATGTCACAAATCTTCTCCATTTGGCTGGTTCCGTTCCATGTCGCCCCGGTGACTCTCACGACGGTCTTGGATCTGACGTACGACTCGGTGAAGAGCGATGCTGCGACCAATGGCGACCATAAGTTGTACTACATCTCTAAGCAAGAAGATCTGTATCAAACATCGGAGTTTGTCAAGTTTATCATGCCGCATATCGGGTATTGGATTGTTTTTGGTTGGCATCTCATTGCAACCATTTTCTGTATCCTGGGTGTGACTTTGCTATGGCCCATACTGTGGCTGGAAGAGGAGGGCTATATCCCGGGTCGCTTTTTGCGAGGAGGCAATCTGGCTTACAACATGGAGAAGAAGATTCCGGAAATTAAAGGACAGTAATGGAGTTGATTTTCTATCTTTATGTGGATATCGTTGAATACAAGCGCTAGTTATGTCTGCTTTCATATCACATCCGATACATTATGTACATATGTTCTTGGCTATTGACTTCCAAGCTAAAACCACCAACAAAGCATTCCATTCAAATTATGATAACCTTAGCTTTCACTGCCACATGCATCCTCTATCATGGCATTGGCCAAATTTCATAGCAACCCAATTCAATGAGCTTTCTTTGACTTGCGTTGTTTCTTTAGCTCCCTGCGGAACGAGTTTTCTTGTTCCACAAATTTCAAGGGCAGGCCTCGACCAATGCCAAAGAACACAAACAAAGCCCACTTCCAACGGAATGGGTTGACAACAAGGACGAAGAAATACCAATAGATCAGTTCAGCATAGGTAAAGAAGTCAAATGCTGCTGTGGGTGCTAGACGCTTCATAAACCTGGTGAAGTCAATCCAGGTCTTCATCCACCCTTCTGTAGGTCTAGCCAATGGATCGGTCAAAAACATGAGCAAGAATCGCGTGTAGATTCCAATGTGCATATTGCCCACTGTACCAATCGCATCGACGTAGGTGCTGTTGTTTGCGCAAATATCTGGGTACTTGGGTGGGAAGACTTGAAGATACCAACTAGGTGGCCCGTAGGGTTCATCGAAACACTCATCGGGCAAAAATGTCAATGAAGGCCGTTTGAAACCAGTTGCCATGACGATGATGTCTCCCTCGACCAGTCGTTCGTGGCCAGGTCCACCCTTGGGGACGCCTTTGGATCGATAATTAAACACCACACCCTTCTCTTCCACGGAAACAATATCACCTCGTAACCAGTGGGCTTTGCCCTCGCGGATCTGGTTAAACAACTCATCATTGGCCATTGGAGTTCCGGTAAAGATTCCCTTGTCTGTCGGGGCAATGTCTTGAAGATCACGATAGAAAAACTTGCGCAGGAACCATTCGGGAATCCACGAGAATGATGTTTCCTGACCGAAGATATTACACGCTAGCAGAGACTGCACAAGTATATTGCGAGGAATAATCCATTTATCGGACCGAGAAAGAACATCAATCTCGGCAGCCTCATTCTTGACGGCGAACTCCAAGGCCTCGATGGCGCTAGCGCCGCCTCCCACAATGAGCACCTTTTTGCCTTTGGCATTTTTTCCATCCAACTCAGAGGAGTGGTAGATTTGGCCCTTGAACTTTTCCTGGTTGGGCAGCGGTGGCATCTTAGGATCTCCACACACGCCTACCGTGGCCAAGATACCGTCGAAACGGCCATACTTCTCTTCGTCATTGTTGATAATCCACTGACCGTTCTTGGTCTTTTTCACAGACGTGACTTTGGTCTCGAAGGCGGTACGTCTTTCCAGGTCATATCTCTTCCAGACATCGACAATTTGCTCTTTGATCTGTTGCTGGGTGGGATATGCGCTGTCGAACCGGACCGAAGGATGGAATCGGTACATGACACTGTGGACTTGCAATGCGGAGGTGGAATTGACTCTCTATAGAGGTGTTAGCAGGTATTTTATTTCACTGAAAGAGAAATTAGAACTGACACTCCAGATGCCTCCCAATCCTTGCTCTTTGGGTCTGGATTCAAACAATTGAACATCGAAGCCATTCCCAACACAGTGGGCAGCCGAGGACACACCCGTTAGGCCTGCACCAATCACTGCGACTCTCTTTCGAGGAAGATTTGCATTTTGAGCGGTAGGGGGTGGGGGTATCGGAGAAAATATGTAAACCAACACGGCTTGCATAGCCATGTAGAGCCAGGTAAAGGTCTCTACGAATGGATGCCGGATGAACGCCGAGAGCGCCGAGATAAAGGACTCAGAACCCATGATATTTTTTGCTTAAGTGAAAATTGATGGCAATTGAGAACATGAAAAGAAGAAACAACATATTTGTACTTCCAGTGCTGTGACGTTATGCCTTCTTTTACATGTGATGGTCGAGTTGTATGACATCATATTTGAATGGAACCTGGATTTTTCGGCAAAGGAGGATCAAGACACGTACCTAGCACCTCCCTATAGGTAGACTATAACCTATGATACACCATCATATTGGAGTAGTGTATGTATTTGCTTGATTTCTTCTCTATGAAGTCTCCACGCAAGGAAAGTCTCATGTGAAATTGGTGTACTTTGCCCATTCCATCAATATCGATGAGCTTAGGTGTGATTAATATTAGGTCCTTGGTATGGGGTTTATAATTCCAAGGATGAACTAAGCTTCTAATGATCTGACTATAGGAAGTCAAAAGGGAATTGAGTAATAATAAAACAATATATTACTCTCCGAGGGCAATGTATATATATATATGAATGGAATTCATCTATTATATGACAAAGCAATACTATTTTCTAGGATACTTGTCCTCTAACATGCGGATCTAATCCATCATGTTTCATCCAACAGATGCTAATACACCAACTGTATTGTGTGCATGTAATATGATCATCGTTATGTTGTCATGTTGTATAGATCTTCGAACTATAGCTGACATGTAGGTACCAACCCATTTGAACTAGATTAGAACTACTATTTTAAACTACCTATTGATAATATCTCCATTCAAACACCCAATGGCTTATCACAATTGAATATAATTGAAAACTTGAATCAACTCCCCTCATGGACATCCATGATTGTATACAAAGGGCGGTCACGGGTTCTGCCGTCAATGCCGTCAACAGATGAGCCTCTTGACTCTGCGACCCTCCAGGGGTTTGGTTTCTTTGACCGTTAAGAATCTTTAATGACACAATGATCGTTCAATCAAATCAATAATCTTTCTGGTGCGACTCTACCAGTCAACCAAGCATTTCGTTCTTTCAACATGGGTCAAACCCCCGTCCTCGACCAATTCCTCGGCAGTTTGCAGGAATTGGTTCAGAAGCGCGATGGCGCCAAAGTTCAGGACTTTCTTCAGCTCGAGCCGCCGCTCTCTGACATTTATCAGCGCATGATCAGTGAGTTGCGACAGAACTACGCCCCGGGTTCTAAAACCGATACCGAACTTCTTCAACGATGTGAGCCTCTCGTGCCTCGATCCAAGGGTGGCTCATGGACGGCGTTCCCGACTTTCGTCAAGCTCTACCTGATCTTCCTACGCGATATGAACACCGACAACTTATTGGAAACGTACAACCAATTGAAGGCGCTGCTTAAGTAAGTTGTGCTGCCCTCGTGGAGGATTTTGAATGCACTCTATCGACGAGGATGCTACTCATATCTTCGAGCTTGAAAGCTGACTCAAACTTCTCATCAACTGCAGTCAATGTGTGCTCGCCCTCGGAGATAGTCAAATGGGTGTTGTTGTTCTTCCTACTGTTCTCTACTTGTCCAAAGTTCTGGCAAAATTGGCAATGGGCCTCGATCGTCGACCGGACCTGATCGCGCATATTCGACGAATGGAAGGTCTGGCGGACCAGGATGAGAGTATCGAGAAGGTGACTTTGGTGGAAAAATCGGCCAACGTGGTGCGTGAAGCCTTCATCAAGTGCCTCACTGATCGCACCGGCACCCCCGGCCCTACTGGCAAGCCGGAGGGCAAGCGCATTGGTATCTATCTCATGGCTAATCTCTGCCTAAAACTGCTATTTCAGGTACGGAGTCTTATCCCCGACTATCTTACCCTCTTTCGGAGCTTGATGCTAACGGAAAACAGTGCGGCAAACTACGCAACGCTGAGCAGATGTTTGCAAGCATCAGCGCCCAATCACCCCCTTTGGCTTACTTCCCAGCCTCACAGCGTGTCACCTACCTCTACTATCTCGGGCGATACCTTTTCGCCAATAACCTCTTCTTCCCCGCCCGCATTGCTTTGCAGGCCGCCTATGACCAATGTCACCGCCAGGCCATAAGCCAGCGACACTTGATCCTCTCATACCTCATTCCGTGCAACATTATCTTGGGCCGATTCCCATCTCAGGCGCTTCTCCAACGATCAGAAGCACAAGGATTAGCAGCACACTTCCAGCCACTGTGTCGATTGATTGTCCGAGGAGATTACCTGGCTTTCCGACAACATCTCTTCTTTGGCTCGCCAACCGCCCAATGGTTTGCACGTAAGGGAATTCTATTTACCCTCCGAAATCGATGTGAGATTCTTGTGTGGCGATCTTTTGCACGCAAGGTTTTCATGTATGGAGGTTCCTATGGAGGCCCGCAGGCGCAGGCGCAGAAGGGACCTCCACCAGTCCTTAACCTTAAAAAGCTCGTCGTGGCTACACGATGGCTACAAGCACAGCACGCATCATCCGGAAATGGCCCGTCTCGTGCTTTGGTGGCGCCTAACCTTTATGGATCACAAGTCGTTTCTGAACCTACAGATCTCGACTACGCTCACCTGCAAGGGGCAGATGGAAGGGCCAGTCCCGCCACCGATCAAGAAATACTAGGAAAATATGGTGATTTTTTGGCCCCGGATGGATTTTATACCGAAGAAGGCCGATCACAGCCTAATCTACCAGGTCAATTGGTGGATGGAGACCCAGAAGAGAATTATGGCGATTATGAACTGGATCCATATGCGTATGACCATGACGACAGGTCAGAAGCAGAAATATCCATGATGCAAGAAATTGAGTCGATTTTCGCATCCTTGATTACACAAGGGCTGATGGGTGGTTATCTTCTTCATCGTGAGCCTCGATTCGCCGTTCCTGGTGCCAAAATCAAAGGCATCTTGCCCACAGGATTCCCCAATGTTTGGCAGACCATCTCTGCCCGTGAAAGTCATGATTCCAGTGTTCCCGGCTGGGTACAGCCTCGGGCGCCTACATTAGCTGGAGCAGCTGGAGGTGGTAGGGTAGTCAATCTCGCTGGAGCACGACCAGTTGGCCTCCAATAAGTTTGAGGTTTCTATCTTGTTTCTTTTACTTTATTTCCCCCTTTCATCTTCTTTTGTTTTTTTTTTTAAAGTTGATGATACCGATATTGTACTTCTGAATTTGATTTCATACCATTCTGCATGTAGTCAGCTTCAAATGCGGAGACCTCGGGAGAGTCTCGGGAGAGTCTCCGCATTCTCCTCATTCCATTCTCCTCCATGTTCTGGCTTTTGCTTATATTCCTTTTCTTCTTCTTCTATAATGGATCATACTGCAGCTGTACAAGAAATCTCAGCACGGGTAGCCGACTTCCATAGTCGCCAGCAACCATTTCGTATATATCATGGTGCCACCAACAGTACTCGTCCCTCCAACCGATCACTCTCCAACACGGTCAGCACAGAACCTCTCACCCGCGTCCTCGAGATCGATATCAGCCGATGTACAGCTATAGTCGAGCCCAATGTCTCTATGAGTGCTCTGGTGGCTGCCACCCAGGCCCATGGCTTGGTCCCTTTGGTGGTTGTCGAGTTCCCCAACATCTCGGTTGGCGGCGGATTCTCGGGGACATCCGGGGAAAGTAGCTCTTTCCGCGAGGGATTCTTCGATCATACAGTCAATTGGATTGAAATGGTTTTGGCAGATGGTCAAGTGGTGAAGGCATACAACGACCGCGTGGAGGCTAGTTCGGAACTGGCGGATAAACACTCGGACTTGTTCTGGGGCACTGCGTCTTCCTTTGGCACCTTGGGAGTGGTCACCCTTTTGGAAATTCGATTGAAAAAGTCACAGCCATTGGTGGAATTGAAATACTATGTGAATTCCAACATGAATGACGCGGTGCGTACCTTTAAAGAGGCTAGCGCTGATCCAAGCACTGAATATCTGGACGGAATCGTCTATGCACGGGACAAGATCGTCGTTTGTGCTGGAAGACAAATCGAACAAAATTCGAATCTAAAGCTTCGACACTTCACTCGTCGACAAGACGATTGGTTCTATTTGCACGTCGAACGAATTGCCCAATCCAAGATCTCCAACATCTCCGACCGAGAGAGTTCACTTCACATGCCAGATGCGGTGGATCACATTCCTCTCGCCGACTATCTTTTCCGTTATGATCGAGGTGGTTTCTGGGTTGCTCGTTATGCTTTTCACTACTTCTGTGTTCCATTCACTTTCCTTACACGCTGGTTTCTCAACCGATTCATGCACACCCAGGTGATGTATCACGCCCTACATGTCAGCGGTCTTGCGCGTCGATATATAATCCAAGATGTCGGTGTACCAATGTCTACTGCTGCCGAGTTCCTGGAATGGCTGGACCGCCCTGAAAACTTTGGACAATATCCGCTTTGGCTCTGTCCGCTACCACCAGGAAGTGCTGGTGGGTTGGAAGGAGAGTCGGTAGATGACGCCAAAGGAGTCAATATGGAAGCACATAGGACCCAACTCCTCAATTTTGGAATCTGGGGGCCTGCTGCTACCACGGATCAGGCCGGATTCGTGGCTCAAAATCGACAGCTTGAACACAAGGTGCACAGTCTGGGAGGAAAGAAATGGTTATATGCACATACTTACTATACAGAAGACGAGTTTTGGACCATCTATAACAAGCCTGGTTATGATTCTCTACGGACAAAATATCATGCACAGCATCTTCCATCCCTGTATGAAAAGGTTCGAGTGCGTGAATCCGATCTCCCTGGTCCACATCGGGGAGATTTCGAGAATGGATGGAAGGGATCGGTCAAACGTGCCCTTTGGGACGTCTGGCCATTTTGTGGTCTTTACGGGGTTTACAAGGCTTGGAGAGGAGGAGACTATCTGTTGCAAAAAGAGATTTCCAAGAGGAAGGTTGATTGAATAGGATAGTTCGAAAATGTTCAGGGTATCGACGCATTCCGTCCAGTCAGAAACGCCAGGCCATCCAGCGCATGTGCATGATGCAATAGGAAACAGGAAACATGAAAAGTTGAAGAGGACAAGAGAATGCCCGAAAACAAAAGACAACCCGGAAGGATCCGAAAGAAAACACAGAAGTAAGGAGCATGTCTACTCTACCACAATGCGTCCTTCCAGTCGAGGAGAGATTCCCGACGTCCAGGCTGGAGTGAACTCCCCTTCGCCGTCCATAGTGTTCAACGTTCTGCTCTGCAGACCGGCATGCCGCATCCACTTTCGGACAACTCGCCGCGCAATCTGTAGACGATATTCCTCTTCAGCGGATGATTTCGCTGGCTGAGTAACATAATTTGTGGTTGGCCGTGAGGATGTGAGGATATCTGGATCCTCATCTGAGTCAGAGTCCATGGCATTGCTATTTATCTCGTTCTCAGTGATAGCTTCAGTGCCTTGTTCGACTTCTTCGGGGAATCGACCGTAGTAGTATGCTGACCGGGCTGTCCGTCGAGCAGTAGGCTGCGTATTTAGTCTTTCACCTGCTTTTTTCTCACTTTTGGGAGACGCTGGCTTCAGCCAGCCTTCACCGTGCAGATTGCGATGTACAGTACCCCAGTGTCGGCCCAAGCTGGCGCTCCAACGGTTCCATTTCCCGAGCACTTTGAGACTTAGGAAATATTGGCGTAGGATTGTACTAATGAGCACGCCGTTTTCCTCAGACACGAGCTCCTCCACATCACCTCCTTCGGCCTGGATAAGCAATGACGTGAACCCGTCTTTTCCTCGGGCCATATAGCCGCGTGTGGCAAGAAGATAGTCACGCTGTAAGTCAATGGGCTCGCCACCAACACGAGCGAACGTAATGCGCGACCCCGACGGTGCGTCCAGTTTAAACCCGTAGTTGATATTGGATACCTGCGAGAATCGGCCCTCGAGTGCAGGAAGCTGGCTAACCCCATTCTCGAGTGCAGCCAGCAATGCATGACCACGAACGCGTAATAATACCACGGGGTCTTCGAAAGGGAAGCAGTTCAGCAGATCCTTTAGCTTCAGTATCCCTGGCGGGTAGATTTGATCACCACGAATTGTGCCGCCCGCCATCATGGCACAATCAGCCCCATAGTAGAAGCGCATCAGGTCGCAGACAAAATTACCCAAATTAGATTCACGCTGCCGCACAGTAGAGAACCGGCCATCGAGAGGGCTGACTGTAAATCCAATTGGCTTGTCTAGCTTGGCCTTGAGGCTGGAAGTAAGCCGTGCCACCATTGCCACTGTATCAGGATCTTCGGGAATTGAGCGAACAACATCTCGCCGCACAATGTTGAAGTCCCACCCAGGCAAACCATCGGGCTTGCGGAAAGCTTCGATGTAACTCAACTGTTTGAAGTCAGTACCTGACCGCATCACATGGATTCCATTGACAACGGCATGGGCGTAAAAGTGATCATGGCCTCCGAGAATAATATCCACAAGGTCGGGGGATAGGTTATTAGCTAGTTTGTAGTCATTCGGTTCACGTTGGTGGGTGACAGCAATGATGAGGTCTGCTCCCTCATCTCGAAGCTGTTTCGCAAGCACCTGAGCTGTTTGAGATGCGGATTTGTAGATCAGATCAGGCGGAAGAGAGTTTATTGTGCCGAGCCTAAGGTAGACTGGAGTAAGCAACGAGATAAACCCATCAGAATATGTATTCTAGGGGCGCATACCATTCTCTTTCTCCAAGACCCAATACGCCAATCTTGAGCCCATTGGATGAGGTCAACATGCGAGACTTTCCGCAGTCAGCTATTGGGGTATCCTCTCCGAGTGCCGGGTCAAGAACGTTCGCTAAAAGCCAAGGAAAGTGACATTGGCTGGCCAAATGGCGGAATTGGACGACTCCAAAATCGAGATCATGATTCTAGGTACTTAGATTAGCGGTGTACATATGCCTGGCGGGCAGCTGGTTGCCATACTCACACCCACACACGCTACATCGGTGCCCACTGTGTTGAGAAATGGTACCATATGCCTGCCCTTTGTGACTGTACTTTCGATACTCGGGTTGAAAGCATCGCCGGAGAAGAAGGTCAGGATATCGGGCTGCCCGGCGAACTGTGGGTGATAACGGTAATGATTTACCAGGGATTGGAACCTAGACACTCCGCCGACAGGCTCTGCAGAGCCAGATCTATAATTATATAATTCAATATCACTCCAAATTGAAGTTTATAAAGGTATAGAGAGGAAAGGAGGGAGAGATAACTGCATACTCGACGTGGTAGACATCATTATAGTGGATCAGCCGTAGATCCGGAGACCCAGTTCTGCCAGTGGAATAAGTGACGGAGAGACCGTCTGTTTCGATGTTTGACATTGAAGTCCTGACGCTATGGAAAGGTGTATAGAGAGATACCTGAAAGGAGAAGAGAAGAGAGGGGGGGGGGGGGGNGGGGGGGGGGGGGGGGGGGAGAGAGAGAAAGAGAGAGAGGGGAGTAAAGAGGGGGAGAGACAAACATATGAGGGGAAGCCGCGGCATTCCAAGGTTAGTGCCTGGATGCCTGGTAGATGCCTGAGGGTTCCAAGGTTGGGGATATCGTCATCATAGTAATATTTTGAATATAAAGAAAACCGAGAAAAAAAAGAAAAAAAAAAGGACAAGACCAAAACGCCATGCAAGAGGTATCCTAAAATTCAAGAAAGAGAATGATTTCACAGCTTTTGTTCCGCCACCGTCCATCGCCGTTTTGTTCCACCTTCACGATCCCCTAATGGTTGAGCACTCCCCCATAAACCACGTTGTGACAGTGTCCGTTGTGGTAACTGCTTCGTCCAGCTCAGATCTGTAGATGGATCAGACTTATCAGAGAGTGCCGAATCTTGACTGACCGGCCGATCACCAAAGTTCGGCACAAGGTTATCCTCCGCATCCGCTTTATCAGTGGGTGAGGAGATCGAGTTCCAAAGCCCAGAGGCACCTGGAGAATTAATTGAACCAGTTGACGGGCGCATCGCCAGGGTCCATGCTCGGGGGCTAGTACTAGGTGGCCCGTTTGTTAATGTTTCGTGGAGGAGCGATGGGCGAGCGCCAAGACGATTCCGATAGGAAGGAACTGGAGGCGGTGAAAGTACAGGGACGGGGGGAGATGACAGCGAGGTGAGCTGCGAGGGATTCATTCCAGGGCGCAGATGATCGGTTGACGCCACAAGCTGCAAGGAGTATTCCCGTGACACCGATTGGTTCTCTGGGCCCGGAGATTTAGGTGTGTGATCCATATCATGCACAGGTTTATTGACACGGTTGCGTCGCACAGCCATAGTGAGTGAAGCTGTATTAATGTCGAGTAAGACCGAGTGACCATTCAATGAACTGATCAAAGCATTGCAATCCGCCCCATGTGTGATAATAACGAGAACCGTTTGTGCATTACTGTCATTTACCTCGTTCGAGTCCGCTGTAGAACCGTGGTCAGATAGATCCTGTTCCCGGTACCAGTTAATCATGTGCTGAAATCCATCGTGCACCCGTTCGTGCATGGTACTCCATTCCTCGCCGAACTCGCCCCCTGTGCCCCAATAAGGTGTGCGCATACTGTCCCACTGGTAGTCGATCCTCGTACATGCGTTCCGAGCATGAGCAACATATCCTGTAGGAATGGGGTCCGAGGTGGAAACGGCGTAGGTGGGAGTCGGGGGTATGTAAGATGTGTCTGGAGTAGGCGGCAAGTCCGTTTCCAGGCGACTGAGAGACTTCTTTGCATGTTTGAGATGGATAGGGTTCTGGAGAGTGTCATGAGTGCTGGCACGCTGGCGCCGGGATTTTGCAGAATGCAAGCGGTGGTCTTCACTATCCGGCGAAGTAGGGTGTGACTGGCTGCGCCAACCGCCAGGGAAGTGGCCCGACAACGCCCTTGTCAAACCATCGGTGGTTGGGATGACCTCGGCACGACGGAGTAATTCCCCTTTGGCAGACGCCACCATTCTGTCCGAGCCTGGCGGGGGCGTGATCTGGTCATAGTAGTCGGGTGATAGCCACTCGCCCAGAAATGCGTCGACGCGAAGTAGACATCGCTGGTCAGGGGGTGATGAAACCGTGGGGAGAGTGGGAGCTGAGCTAGTTGCTTCGGATGCTTCGGTGCCCGAAGCTTGTTGGTGGATACCAGCACTAACTCCAATTGCAGTTTGCAGACATCGAAGGTAAGGAGAGGTATGGATAATGACGTTATATCGGTGGGACAGGTCCGAGGGTGCGGGGGCGGGTTTTGCCTGTTTATCCGAGGTCGGATGATGGCTGCGCTGATTCTCTGGATCTTCTCCAGTGAACTGCCGGGCTTTTAGGAGACTCCCTATCCGTACACCAAGTGCCCGAGACTGTATCCATCCACCGTAGGAAAGAGGTGGATCGAAAGGGTTTGGGGAGGTTAAGTGCCAATCTTTGTCTGCAGCATCGAGGCGGGCGCCATGTCTAGAAAGCTAGTGAGCAGCGGAAGCAGTGCAAAGGAAGTAAGTACTCACCTGGCAATAAACACAATAGGTGGTGATTTTTTCATGGAGGTCAATATGTGTCCTTGGACTTTGTGTTACTTTTTGTTTTTGTTTTTGTTGTCTTTTTTTTTTGGTTCGCGGGGAAAATGCAGCTTCAACACCGGCTCCTGGGTTTGCAGAGAATGAAGCAAAAATAGGGGAACAGAATATATTAGAGAAGTAGCCGTATGGCTGATCAACCGGGTCTCGCGACCAACATATTGATACTCGCAATGAAAGAATGTAAAAGAAAAGCGAAGCGAAAGTTGAAAGGACCAGAGCAGCCTGGGGCAGTCCACGGGTGGCATGTGATGCTTACTAACAACCCCTCATCTCCAGGGCTGGACCAGCCCTAGAGACTCTGATAGTTAAAGAGTACAACATTGTATATATAAATATTGAACATATGACATCTCTTAAGGATATAAAGAAGTATATTTAAATATACTAAGTTGATAGTTTGAATACCTACTTTGATCAATCCTTTCAATCAAAAGTTCTAAGAAGTTGGTACATAGTTCTTTCTAGTATAGATCAATGCTTCCAAGCTTTAATCTAATCATTTAGCCTAATTGGAGACGGCAGATATTTTCCAAACACCAATTTACATAAAGCAAGCTCCAAGTTCAACGAGTCTGTCAGTAATCAGAAGTTGTAAAGTATTTAGATTGACACCTCCAATTCCGTCGGATCGGACCCGACGGAAGATGTTGATCTCGAGATTCCACTTTGGTGGATTAGATACAAAGGCAGCTTGGTTTTTGTTTCTTTTTTCCTCCCAATTTCTGCTCAGTTTCTTGTTTGCTATGAATTTGATCTTCTAGCTATGGAGCACAATCATCGCACCCGGTCAATATCGAACTTGGAGGAATATGATATCAATTTAAAGAAGATACCCACCCAACATAGAAATGACGAGACATTGACACGGGTGGAAACGTTTCCGTCTCAAATGGAACCACCAAAATCACTCTTCCAGGAGACCGTCTTCGTCACTGTGGTGTGTATGGCACAATTTATGACTCAAGCTGGTCTCAGCATCTCCATTGCCCCAGTCCATATCATCGGCGATAGCTTCGGTACGACCAATCCTGCCAATCTAAGCTAGTTTGCGGCCGCCTACAGCTTAACGATTGGCACCTTTATTCTTATTGCTGGCCGACTAGGCGATGTCTTTGGTCATCGAAACATGTTTGTGATCGGTTTCTGTTGGTTCAGTGCCTGGTCGCTGTTGGCTGGTTTCAGTGCCTGGTCAAACCAGATATTATTTGATTGCTGCCGTGCACTCCAGGGTATTGGCCCCGCTATGTTGCTTCCTAATGCAATTGCAATTCTTGGAAGAACATACCGGCCGGGTCTACGTAAGGAGATGATATTCAGTTTGTTTGGGGCTACGGCGCCTGGAGGATTTATCGTGGGAGGTGTATTTTCTTCTATATTTGCCCAGCTTGCCTGGTGGCCTTGGGGATACTGGGTGATGGGAATAACCTGTGCAATACTGGCCTTGGTAGGATGGCTTGTCATCCCCTACAGCTACCAACCCAAGTTTGACGACAAACTTCGCTTTTGGCAGCGTCTTGATCTGCTTGGTGCCACTGCAGGAATTTCAGGCCTGGTACTGGTCAACTTTTCTTGGAACCAGGCCGCGCTTGTGGGCTGGAAGAACCCTTCCACCTATGTTCTTCTTATAATTGGGGTTGTCTGCCTCGGCGCCTTCGCATCAATCGAACGCAAGGCGCCATGTCCATTGCTCCCGCGGTCAGTCTTTACTAGTGAATTGGCTTGGGTGCTCGGGTGTATCGCAACTGGCTGGTCGAGTTTTGGAATTATCATCTACTACTTCTATCAATTCATGGAAGTGATCAAAGGCGATTCTCCACTGTTGGCCACGGCCAAATGGTCGGCGGCCGCTGCTTCTGGTGCTGTGGCAGCTTTGGTCACAGGATCCCTACGTAGTCGCCTACCACCCAGCGTTATCATGTTTTGTGCAATGACATTTTTCACCGCTGGTATCTCCATCTTTGCCACTGTGCCTGTTGATCAAACCTACTGGGCGCAGGCGTTTGTGGTGAGCCTAATTACCTCCTGGGGCATGTAAGTCTTTTTATTTTGTGTCATTGGATTTGGTCCTGTTCACCGTCATTAATTCATTCGCCCCTAGGGACATGTCCTTTCCCTCTGGGACCCTGATATTGAGCAATTCCATGCCTCATCACCACCAAGGTCTGGCTGCCTCTCTCGTTGTTACAACGGTGAACTACTCTATCTCCCTTGGCCTAGGATTTGCGGGTACGGTAGAAACACATGTTAACGAGGACGGACATAATGTTCTACAGGGTTACCGCGGTGCGCTGTACATGGGAATTGGACTGGCGTCATTGGGTCTCGTGCTGTCGATTTGTTTTATGTTTACGAGCTGGAGACAGCATGGTAACAGCCAGAAGAGCCATGGATAGATGATGTTAGATGCTGAATTTCCAAAAGATACTTGTTAGATGGTTTTTTAAAATTTTAGATCTGACAATATATCTGCGTTCTGTTACTCCCGTTTACGAATTATATCAACGGAACCATAAGCACATAGAAATTAGAGACTACTCTGAATGGACGGCGGAGAGAGATAAACACCGAAACAACATTTGACCTTCAAATATGTATTTCGGATGATCTATACTATTCATGTATAGGGTCGTGTCGGGGCTAGGTATCACGTCGACACTGCCAGTGTTCAGTCGATCCGATGTCGCACGGCGCAATCGCCTTTTTAACAAGAAACATAAGTCAAATGGATTCTACCATCGGGTTATAACTCAGAATAATCGTGCTAAGCGCCCAACACACCTACCCTGTGCTGGTGCGCTCCAGTCAACGATAATCCCCTATCGACGAAAAACTTTGAAATTAGGTACTTTTCATACTTGCCCATACAAAAGGTATGTAAGGTATAGAATTCATAATTCTATTTTTTTTTCAACCCTCGAACTTGCCAATGGATAACACAAGTATTATTACATCTTCAATGTCTCTGTGTGTTCATTTTAAGCCGCTAGGAGAAGCGGATTCCGCCGTGTTTCGCGCTCGTAGCCTAAGAGGCCATCGTTGAACTCCGGCTTAAACGACGCGATATTGGTACCAACATGTAGGAACTTTGTGATAAGAGAGGTATTTCAATTTTTGGCTGCGGATAGGAACCCGGAACTTTGGTGATACCGAGCATTGAACTGACATAGAAATGTGTGCCAAAGATGATATAGCCTACAGTTGATTCTTCCCAGACTTTCTGACCGGAAAGAGATTTAGCAACCAAAAGAAACAATCCATTTGGCAGCTGGAAAAAGCTTGTTATGTCTGTGTGGGTCCAGGTTATTTGAAACTGGGTATAATGAGAGGCTTCTAGGAAGTATACGAAATTCAACCTCGAGTTGATAGGTCCCAATTTTGTGGGCGGGGTTCCCTGACTGTAGGTATATACAAATGTACCTTGCTAAGGCCACTAACTTGCAAGGCTCTAACTCTAGTCAATATCATCGGAGCTTCGGCGCAATCCTGCCAATTTAAGCTGGTTCGCGACGCCCTACAGCCTAATTGGCTGCCACATTTATTCGTGTTGGACGATTTCTTTGGTCATAGAGACATGTTTGTGTTTTGATATGTTTTTGTGGGTTTGGTGTCCTTCATAAGAAGACGCAAGCGGAAAATTCCCATCGATGTTCACGAACTGGTATGTCAATAAAGGGATATGAGAGGTCGCAGGTGGAATGCAGATGTCACTGAGCATGAGAAAGACATGCCTCACACATTCCATTTATGTCAGATCCCGGACTGCAAACGTCAAAGAATAGGGGGTTTAGTTTATAGGCAGCGGAGATTGTTTTCCAACCTGTTATGACTATAGTCAGCCTCGTGATACACTCCCTCCCCATATCTCTGAAATGCCACTTTCATTTAAATTTGTCCACGAATGCCGAAACTGAAAGTTACTTGCAATATTGACCTTCTGAAAGAATTAATTGAATGCAATTCACCTTCTGCGTGCCCTTTTCACGGTCGTTATTGTCCATTCAGTCGTGTTGTTCCATCCACTTCAACCCAGACTTGCGAAAGTGATCTACAAGCTTGAACTTGTATTTAAAAATCTGATTATCCTCTACTCAAACATGCGTTTGCAATTGATTTGTACGCTTTTCATGGGAACCGTGATTGCCATTTCCTATGGTGGTCAGGAAGTAAGTTGCTGTTCAAGGTTATATTCAATGCTGATCTCACTGACTCTTATCCTGCAGTACCGAAAGGTATGAAAAAGATTCTAAAAATCCATCTCTACTAGAACCTAACATATCTTTTAGGGTACGCAGCAGCCTACAACTTTAGCCATGTTCGCATCCACACCTATAAAAAAGATGACTACAACTACCCATACATCTCCATATCCCTCATTAGATGCCCAGAAGAGAATGCTGCCGTATGAATATGAGCTCTTTTCAACCATTTTGAGAATATCAACTCACACTGAAACAGATTTTGAATGGCAGGCTAGAACAGACCTCTGGTGTTGGTCGACTAGTCGATCCTCGATAACACGGGACCTCATTTCCGATTCAGAAAATTAAACAAGAAAAAAGAAGATCATTGGAAACTCGGGGACAACATGTATATGTCTACATAATAACAAGTTAGTAATGTATTTCAGAACTATAGCAATTCGGCAATCGCTTTTACCCCAAATGGACATAGCCGGGCCGGAATGAGTAGCCGATCGGGGCCGACTTCGGGGCCGTTTGCCGTTATCTGATCTTCTATACTTTATTAGTCTCCATGTTCCTTGTTCCTTGTTCCTTTCTTTCTTTTTTCTCGCTTCATATCCCAAGTCATAACAATAACTAAGATGGCAAACAACAGTATTCCCCATTCTTCTCTATGTGTCACCACAACGGACTTTGAGAAGGTCGCAAAGGATGTCCTACCGGAGAAGTCATGGGTTTATGCATCAAGCTCAGCTGCTACGGGCCTGTCAATGAGGACCAATCTCGATGATTGGTCTCTGATCAACTTTCGCCCCCGCATCTTGAGGAGTGTTGATTCAATAGACACTCGAAGGAACATCTTGGGACATACCTCCCAGTTCCCCTTCTTCGTATCGGCCATGGGTACACTGGGCAGCTCACACCCTGGCGCTGAACCCTTGTTGGTGAGAGGAGCAACCCGCAAAGGCATGCAAACCATGATCAGTACAGCATCCACGAAGCCGCTAGAGGAGATCATGGATGCTCATCTGGACGAGCAACCCGCAAAGGCATGCAAACCATGATCAGTACAGCATCCACGAAGCCGCTAGAGGAGATCATGGATGCTCATCTGGACGAGCAACGGCTACTTGGCAATCAAAGCCCTTCGAACTTGTCATTCCAGCTCTACGTGCCTGTGGATCGGACAAGAGCCAAGTCACTCATTCAAAGAGTCAAAGCAGCCGGATATCAAAGTCTGTGGGTCACAGTAGACACCTCAACGCTAGGAAAGCGTACTGCCGATCGTTATCTCCAAGCACAAGAAAATCTCGACGCTGGTTTGGATGAAAATGCAAGAGACATCCATGGGGAGAATGACTTTGCGCCAGCATTTGGGGGTCGCCAGGTTCCCGGTTCGGTAGATGGTGGTCTTACTTGGGAGGATTTGAACTGGATCTCGTCAGAGTGGGATGGGCCACTGGTTCTCAAGGGGATTCAAAGTGTAGAGGACGTGAAGCTAGCTGTCCAACATGGTGTGCAGGGAATTCTGTTGAGCAACCATGGAGGCAGGCAGATTCATTCCGCCCCAAGTTCATTGATGACGCTCCTGGAGATTCGCACATACTACCCGGAGGCCTTCGATAAGCTCCAGGTGTTTGTTGACGGAGGTCTTCGCGACGGAGCAGATGTCCTCAAGGCGTTGTGTCTCGGAGCGACAGCGGTTGGAGTTGGCCGGCCCTACTACTATGCCCTCGCGGCATACGGCGCTGAAGGAGTGGAAAGATGTACAGACAGTAAGTTGGGACTGGTATTTAAGTCAATTCCAAGCTAACACATTCGCAGTTCTCGCCGAAGAACTTGAAATCACCATGAAGATGCTTGGAGTCTCTTCTCTAGACCAACTGGGGCCAGATATGGTAAACACCAGCCGACTAGCGAATGAGATGTGGCGACCGGTATTTGGAAAATCTAAACTGTGAAAAAGCAACTTTGTGAATTTATTCATGAGGCCCAAAAGGACCATTGTATTATCTCTACCTGTGTGTTTAATTGAGATTGGTATACTAGAAATGTCATGCTTGCAATACAACCCGTTCATACAGCGCCCCAGCCACCACCGCCGGGAGTATTGATCACAACCCGGTCGTGTGTCTTCATTGAGACAGTGTTTTTGCCGCCAATGTTGATACGGCGCTCATTGCCAGTGTCCGGATCCCGTGTGATCCACAGATTGAATCCGGTCTGTGCATCCTGGCCACCTTCGAGTCCGTAAGGCCGATGGACACGACGCTCAGACAGAATCGAACATTGAATTGGTGAAAGGAATTCGATGTCACGAATTACTCCCTCGCCACCAGGGTTCTTGCCCTTGCCGCCAGAACCCTCACGTAGGGTGAACTGGCGGAGCATCGTCGGATAGCGCTTCTCCAGGATTTCAGGATCGGTGATCCGCGTGTTGGTCATGTGAACATGTATACCAGACTCGCCCTTCCAAGTGGGGCCAGCACCACTTCCACCAGCGATAGTCTCGTAATATCCAAATCCAGGCTTGATGACAGCACCGGTGGACGGATCAAGCTTGGCGTCTGTGCCAAAGGTCAGGTTGTTACAGCAGCCCTGAGACGCGGCACAAGCCTGGAAGGCTTTGAACACGACGTCAGTGATGCGCTGTGAGGTCACAACATTGCCACCAACGACAGCAGCAGTCTTGCTTGGCGACAAAATGCTTGACGAGGGAACACGAATGTCAATTGGCGTCAGGCAACCCTGATTCAGTGGCACATCTGCATTGATCATACAGCGCAGACAGTAGATGATCGCTGAGTGAGTAATGGCAATGGGAGCATTCCAGCTTCCATACACCTCAGGGCCTGTGCCCTCGAAGTCGAAGATAGCTGATCCATCGGTACCATCGATGGTGACCTTCAATCGAATAGGGGTGCCATCATCCATGTAGTCGACCGACTCCAATGGCTGACCATTGAACTTCTTATATAGCTCCCTGAGAAGATTCCGCACAGCAGACTCGGCGGTTGCCTGGATGGCGTACATGTACTTTTGGACAGTCTGGGTTCCATATTCGTTGAAAAGAGTCTGGATCAAGCTGATTCCACGAGTGTTGGCGGCAATCTGTGCCTTCAGATCGGACAAGTTGTCGCTGATGCAGCGTGCTCCAGCGCAGCCGGGGTATTGCGAGGGCTTTGTTACCAGCAACTCGATCAAACGTGCCTCATCCAAGATACCATCGCTGACAATCTTATCGCCTTCGATGGCCGCGCCTTCTTGCCACAGCTCAGTGGATTTTGGAGGCATTGATCCAGGTAAAATACCACCAATATCAGCGTGATGGCCACGGGAAGCTACGTAAAACATGATCTCGGAGCCACCAGGTCGGTCAAAGACTGGTGTAATAACCTATGATCTCATCAGTATTTGATGAGATTGTTCAATGTGAAGATCACTTACTGTAATATCAGGCAGATGAGTGCCTCCGCAACTGGGATGATTGGCCACCAGAACATCGCCATCCTTCAAGTTTCCTAGCCACTTCTCATGCTGATAGCGGACGGCAAATTGCATCGATCCAAGATGAACCGGAACATGGGGTGCGTTGGCCACCAAACCTCCATCGGGGGAGAATAGAGCGCAAGAGAAATCTAGCCGCTCCTTGATGTTAGTTGAAACTGAGGTCTTCTGTAGCGTACGACCCATCTGCTCAGCGATGGACATGAAGCGATGTCCAAAGATAGTAAGCCTGATGGGGTCAATTTCGGACGACAAAGCGCTTCCGGAAGATGTTGGTTCCTCATTGAGATCGATGACAATGCAGGTGTCGAGCAGGTTCGCTACTGCGTTAGGAGCCACGACGATTGTTTGAGTTTGATCAATGATGACGGCCGGGCCATGAATACGGGTATTCTTCTCCAATTCACCTAGAAGGTAAACTGGTGTGTCAATCCGACTCAACTGGCCGAAGTAGGCCGAAGTGGTGTTGTTCGGAGCCGTCGCGACATCTCGCATATTGGCTTCTTTCAGTTGAACCAAGGGACTTTGCTCGGTCCGCACCTTAGATGAAGCTATAGTTCGCACTCGAACGTCATCAACAAGAACAGGTCGGTCGGAGTTGAAGTTGAATTCGCGGCGGTGACGAATGCGGAATTCCTCCAGGAAATCTGCCGAGCTCTCGGGCTTTAGGATCATCAGACTGGTGTCGGAACCTTCGTAGCGCATGTTCAAGTATTGCTCATGGCGCACTTGAGTGGAAGGGAAGCCTTGAGATTCCATATCCTTGGTTGCTGATGCTGACAAGTCATCGAGGTGTTGAAGAAGGGCAGACTGTGAAGATAGGTAGGTGGATGAAACGGGCTCCTGCGACTCCTTGACAACTTCTGCCAAAGCAAGGCCGTACGCTGACAGAACGGAAGAATACTTGTGAATGATGATGCGGGATATTCCGAGCGTCTTGGCCACTGAGCATGCATGCTGGCCACCAGCACCTCCAAAGCATGCCAAATGATGAGATGCGGTCTCAAAGCCACGAGCCTCCGTGAGATTACGGATTGGTCGGGACATAGACTCGTCCGCGACATTGAGGAAGCCAAGTGCAACTTCCTCTGGGGAAAACTCTGACTGGCCTTGCTGTCGGCGTTCAATGTTGACCTTTTGTGTGAGTTCATTGAAGAGGCGTGCAGTCGTCTCTGTGTCCAGAGCTTCGTTCTCATTCGGGCCAAAGATCTTCGGGAAGTATTCCGGCAGAAGACGGCCTAGGAACAAATTGGCGTCTGTGACTGTGAGAGGGCCCCCCTTTCGGTAGCATGCCGGACCAGGATGAGCACTTGCAGACTCAGGCCCAACATAGAATAAGCCATTGCGCCAAGTGAGAATGGAACCACCGCCAGCAGCGACAGTGTTGATATCAAGCTGAGGGGACTGGATCATCACGCCTGCAACCTTGGATGCAAATACATGTTCAAGGTGACCATCAAATCTGGAGACATCTGTACTAGTGCCACCCATGTCGAAACCAATAACGGGAATCTTCTCGTTGGGATCCCAGCTGGTGGCAGCAAAGCCGACCACGCCAGCTGCGGGGCCAGACAAAATCGCTTTTAGCCCGCTGAATTTGCGGAAATCGACTAGTCCACCATCTGATTGCATGAACTCGAATCGGCAATCCTGCTGACTCTCCAATCCACCTTCAAAACTAGAAGATATGGAGTCGATGTATGTCTTGATAACAGGTGTGAGGTAGGCATCAGCGGCGGCCGACATGCCACGAGGCACAATCTTAATCATGGGTTGAAGTTTTGAAGAGAGGGTGACCGAGAATCCCATCTCTTCGGCGATCTCGCCGATTTGGCGCTCGTGTTCAGGATATGCGTAGGAATGTAATAGCGCCACAGAGATTGACAGAATCCCTTGCTCCTTCAGTCGTTGGAGCTCTGCCTTTACCTGAACGAGGTCTAATTCTTGAACAATACGAAATTTCTCGCCGGTGATTCCCTCTACCATCCGGCAATCGGAAAAGCAATCACTGTCAGCAGAAGGATGGCAGGATAACACACGTTCGTTAACTTCGATGACACTTTCCGGAAGTACTCCGGGGCGAGCCATTGATAGGTCAAAAATGGCCGGGCGAGATTGGTCGCCAATTTTTAATAAATCTCGAAACCCCTTAGTTGTGAAGAGTGCTGACCGAGCGCCTTTGCGCTCGAGCAAGGCATTTGTTGCAACGGTTGTACCCATGCGTAGACAACCAATGCGGTCGAGTTTCAATGGTTGGCCTCGGGGATGTGGCTCCCCGGTGGCCAGCTCTAAAATCTGACGAATCCCCTCCGTCGGGGCATCTTGATAATGAGAAGGATCGACAGAGAGAAGTTTCAAGATAATATCGGCACGGCCAGGTTGAATCGCGTGGACATCAGTAAATGTGCCGCCACGATCGATAGAGATGGTGATCTTCCCTGAATCAGACATTGGGACTAGTATGAGTTAAGGGAGATGTGAGGTAGGTTCAAGAAAAGAAAAGGAAAGAACAGCAGATAAGGATGATCAGAAGGGAACTGTATTCATTTATGTCATAAAGGTCGTCCCGATATCCCAGTCCATCTCCAATGATCATCGCGCTGTTAGCCATTAGATTGATGTCACGTGTCGGGCCGATGGCTCCTATTTCGGCTTCATCGGGCCGGCACCTCCACGGCTTGATAAGCCGCGGGGTTGTAGATTGAAGATGGAGGGGAAGATAGGGGCTCATATCATATGGGATGTAATATCGATAAGAGAAATAATAATAATAGCAATTTGCGGAGAAATTCATCTAAGTGGTCCACTGTATATAGGCCTCAGTCATCAATTCTGTGTAAGGTAGTTACATATACTAGGTACCAGGCACTAAGTATTAAGCACACAGTACAACTAGAACAGCTAGAAATCATTTATAAGTGGTATATATTTACTCTTATCGCTTTAAAGTATTCTCAATCCAGTCAGTGTCCATGTCAATGTCGATTTGATCCAAAGCCCCTTCCCAAAGTGCTGGATCATCGTTTAGATCAAACCGGAAGGCAATATCCCGGAAAGAAGGGAGATCTGGCTGCTGTGGCCAGTTATAAGTGAGCACTTGTGAAGCTGCTAGCTCTGCACTCGGATCTAGAACATCCTCTGATGGATTTACGCCGTTTTCGGTCATCGGCGTCACAGGGCCCTTTTGACCTGCAGCAACAGAACTTGTCACTTCGGTATCTTTTTCTTCAGCAGGTCTAGGTCCAATGGCCGCCCGTAATTCCAACAGCAATGAGTGACGCGAGTCCAGGTATGTATTTCCCCGATCTGCCATACCGCGAAGAAGGTTCAGTGCGGTCTCCATGGCCCGGGCGCTGGTTTCATTAGGTGGAAACGCGGCATTAACCATGACCAGCAGCAGTGCAGCGGAGAAGATATATTCGCCATCAAGGTATCCATATGTAGCTAAAATGTTCGTTCGATCAGATGATTTGAGGACAAAAGAAAAGGTGGCGGGAGTTATAGTGCGATCGCGTACCAATGAGATTATGTTTTGCAGCTGCATCCATGATCACAGTAGTTGCTCGCGCTGCCGTGATGCAGCTGTCAATGACAGCGACAGTATTGTGGGCCAACCCTTCTTTCCAATCTTCTGTTGCGGATCCAATGGCTTCCGCGTCGAGTCGTCGTTGGATGACATAAAAGACCAATGGGCGCGCAGTCATGTTCACACATGAGTAAAAGTGCAAGTTGATTGAGACAGACTCTCGATTGATATGGGTATCGAGTGTAGTAAAATCGATACGGAGCCGGTCTGGTACTTGTCGCAGCCAGCCAGAAAGGTCATTTGTGATACTCTGGACAGAAGCAACGAGGTTGGATCCAGATCCAGGTTTCTTTCTATAGATCTCTGATGTGACCATCTAGGTCAGCTTGGCAGTACGGCAAAAGAATAGGGAGGGTTTTCACCTTCCCCAATTCGTCCCAATATACGGGATAGTTGTGTATAATGGGTAAGAACAGTTGATGGCCATGGATCGAAGGTTGATCCAACCTAGATAGAAGAATTAAAATTAGCCAATACCCAGATATACCATGGAAGCCAACATACCACAGTTGTGGGCCAAGTTATCCCAATGTCTTCATCGTGAATCGTAATAGGATTACCAGATTTGACCGAGAGTAGCCTGTCCATAAGTATGAGTCTTTACTCCAGAAAGATAAGAGAACTGGCCAAATTACCGGTCCAAGCTGTAGACAGACCACCAAGCCCGACGTCGACGGTTCCGATCTAATTCACTTATTGAGGGATCAGCCACCTCTTGATGTAGGCCTAGGGAGATAGCCATGCGCAGAGCAAGTCCGATCTGACGTCGTTAGCGGTACAGTGGAAGGCTCATGGAAGTAATACATACATAGAGGAAGGCAGCATCCCGCCTGTTCAGATTCTGCATATAGTATGCCACGTAGCATAGCACCTCAACAAAGAGAATCGACCCCTCTTCGTGAATATCTGGCAAGAAACGTAACGCATGCTTGAAATACTTGAAGCCGGGAGGACCTTCCTCGCCAATCCACTGATTTACACTGTACATTAAGCCAAAGGAAATAACCAACAGTGCTTGACAGTATACTAGGCAAGATTCACGATGTGAGAAATCAAGTGGTTGGTGATAGACTAGATCGAGCCGCTCTTCAAACTCCAAGGGTTGAATAAGGGAGAAGATTGTGCCGATGTAAGCATATTGTACCCAGAATAGTCGCTTGGCAAACTCAAAAGGTGGTAATTGAGGCAATGAGCCGCCGACTGGTCTTCTCAATGATGAAGGGTCATCGTAAAGTGGGCGCACATCCCATGCAAGGTTTGTGGAGGCGGGGTTGAGCCGTTTCGCAAGATGTGTGGTGGACGAGGCACCCACGAAATCTGAAGAAAGATTAGCAGAAGGATAGTAATGGTGCATGATCCTCTGGCTTAACACGTACGATGTTCTCCCGACCGATTTAAGAACAGATTGTCTGTCCCTTTGTACCACCAGTCGTCGCGTTCTGGTGGGCCCTCATCCGAGTAGCGATTTGATATTGATGGCTCACTCGACGGTGTCGGATGGCTACCCTCTATCCTATGCGGTTAAATTGCGTCCAGATGACTACATAGGTACATATAAGCCTACCTCGTGATGCAGGAGCTTGCGATTGCAATTGACGATAGTAGCTGCAGAGAGAGTCAGCATTGACTCTTTTCAACGATCTTGGACCGACTTCACCTCTCCGTTATGGAGATTCGCTTTTCTGCCTCTGAATATACACAATGCTTGCCCGCATCCACACATGCTGCACAAGGGTGGGGTGGATTGCCGGCGCAGCGAGTTTTTCTAGAACGGCAGCGGTTACAGGCTACCATCGACCTTCTTGAGCGATCTTCTGCCTGGCGCGAGATGCCTGCATTTCCAAGGACCATATTCCCTTTCTTCTTTTGGGGTTAGACCTCAGAAATGTTCGATCTGTTAGATAGGTGAAACGTAGAATATGACACACAACTCAGACCGGGACGGAAAGCCCCGAATTCTCCGCTTTTTCACTTCTTTTCGGCCCGACCTCCCCAACCAAGGCTATATGGTACGGATAGAAGTCAACCTACCTATGTAGGTCTATTATTCTGCGTTATCTCCAGAGAGTTAGGCTGTGGAATATGATCGAAAACGAAAACGGACAAATACGAAAGAATCTGTGATCAAATTATAGCCACGCCATTCAGGGGGATTACAACCCCACCAGGAACCCGATGAATGTGGTCAATTGGGAATAAGAGTGGAATATGTCGACACACACCTTGAACGGCATGCTATTAAAGAAAAAGCTCCAGCGACCTCTCTTCCGACACTCCTGGCTGAGCTGCTCTAGATCGCATAATTCCCCGATTAGAACACCCCAGCCAGTTAGCAACCACTCATGGAGCGAATATATCTAATTCTGGCATGGATATGCTTCAAAGCTCGGCATATCCCCCACCACAGCGACCAGTTCAAGATCCCAAATCCAGCGCAGCATGGCCATATCAAATGACTTCAGGCAAGGAGTAATGAACCGGTCCCAACTCATCCAACGTTACAGGAATATATAGATGATGAAAATTCTATGCGGTTAAAACTACAAGTGATTCTGTAAATAATACCAGTCCCTCGGCACCGGCCTTATCAGTTAAATTCTTAGGATCTCTATTTTGTGAGTGTCGGGGGAGGACCGAGAGAATGAAGGAATGGTGAATGAGAGAGACTCAGCAGAAATAATGTTATTTCCACGACAAAGAAATCATAAATTTGAGTCAAATCAGCCTGAAATAGAAAAGAAGATACTACATCTTGTAAAAGAAATGAGAGACTTATGGCCTTAAACCTGTGGGAACATATATTTCGATTAGAAATTGGAACTTTGACAACATCAATTGTTATTGCAGGGATCAAAGATCTAAAAATAAATGATCGAAACGATGGCACCTACAACATACGGAGTACGGAGTATATTTACATGTGTTATCCTCCGTACTTATTTATATACTCTGTACTTTGTACGTGGACTGATGCCAGGCTACACAATAACTTGTGTACACGTATGTATAGAGAGGATCACGTGATACCTGGGCACACGACACGCATCACTCGGCATTCTTCTCTTTGTTGCTGTGGTAGCGCGATTCTTTTTTTATTCTTTTTTAGATTTACTCCCCACATACCCAATTTATAACGATGGTTGAATATGTGGACCCTCGTGAGCCAGTCGCAGATTCAGAATTCAGCCCCCTAGAAGACGCGGCCGATCGTTTCCTGACGCCTTGCCGTCATCCCCCGGCAGTTGCCACCCCCAGCCGCCACGCTGTGATTGCTTGGCAGAGAGGCCTTTAGAGGTCACTGCGACCATGAATTACTCCGTACGGAGGAGTACAGCGATTCAAGATCAGTTCCTCAAGGGGTATTTCGGATGGTAGAAGGGATATGTATACAGAGATTAATTGGGGGAGCTTGTGATGGGTCAAAGGGGACACCTGGTTGACCAATGTTATGGCGCATTGCGTCGTCGACCCGCAGCTTTTTTACACGTTCGACGAGTTATGTTCGTCGCAGCAAGGCTCGAATCACAGAGTCGAATTCATGCCCGTACAATTTACAGGAGTATACCATTGGGATATCGAGAGCATAATGATCAAGGGGAATATCATTCGGCGGTTGGGGTCCATCTTGCAGCCACTAATGGTTATGCGATGCATACGCAGGGGAAAAGCGGTTGCCAACAATACCTAGGTATGGATGTCCTGTCTCGGACGGCTCCATGGTGGATCCTCAGAAAGGGTGGATGACGAACAACAATTGCTGATGTGCTGGGGTTCCACCTCAGTCGCCCTTTCACAGCCCGCATCGTTGGTAACTCCAATCAAATTCTGCACCAAAAATATCTCCTGGATAGATGGTATCTGGAGCCCTTCTCCTACGCACATCTCTTCTTTGAACCTCAACCCTCCATTCGTTTCTACTTAGGTCTCATATTGTTTCGCACATAGGTGATCTTCCGCCAGGTCGCCTGCATTGCCTTCAACCCACCTTACGAGCATCATTGCTGCATGTTGCGCTGTTGCTATTGAGGCGCCGGATTGTACCTGGAATTGAAACTTCTAACCTCGACCTTTTCTTTTTGATTTTTAAGATACCACCCCACCAGCTAGATCTGTATTCCCATTTCACCAGAGCCGGGGAATACAGGAGCCACGCATAATGTCTTTTCCTCAGAGAGGCACATCGCCTCATTCACCTCATTCGGGCAACTCATCTCATTCACCCCAGACGAGTGAGGTTAGCATGTATGGTCCACGAGAGGTGAGTGGCAAGCCACCCGGAACAAACCCTCCCCCATCCAAAAAAAAAACACAGACCAGACCCATCAAAATAGCAACGGATGCTAATACATTTTGTTCAGCAGCAGGCGTACGGCTACGAGGAGAAACCCGAGAACATCGACAGCCAGCAGTCTTTGCTCTACCGAAACCAGCCCAGCCCGTTCAATGCTTCCTTCGATGACCCATATGCCTCGACCGATTCCCTACGTCGTTACACACTACAGGATCCTGGAGTCACCATCTTCCCCGATGGTCCATACCAGGAGTCCGCGGGAGGACACAACCGTCGCTCGGGTATTCAATCACCTATGTCCGAGACTCCCTCAGAAGCCTGGCAGAACCGACAAGCACCTGGGTCAGGACTGCGGCGTTATGCTACGCGAAAGATCAAGCTGGTCCAGGGCTCTGTGCTCAGTGTCGACTACCCGGTCCCCAGTGCCATTCAGAACGCGATTCAGAAGGAGTACCGGGAATCGGAGGAGGGCTTCCCAGAAGAATTTACCCACCTGCGTTGTAAGTCTTCACGTAAAATATTGGTGATGAGACTGGGGCTAATCACATACAGATACTGCGGCCACCTGTGATCCCGACGAGTTCACCCTACGCAACGGATACAATTTGCGACCAGCTATGTACAACCGACACACCGAGCTTCTGATTGCCATCACCTATTACAACGAAGACAAAGTTCTGACCGCGCGCACGCTCCACGGTGTCATGCAGAACATTCGCGATATCGTCAATTTGAAGAAATCGGAGTTCTGGAACAAAGGTGGCCCGGCCTGGCAAAAGATCGTGTGCACCTTGGTTTTCGATGGTATTGATCCTTGTGACAAAAACACCCTCGACTTGTTGGCCACAGTTGGTATCTACCAAGATGGCATCATGAAGCGCTCCGTCGATGGCCGGGAAACGGTCGCACACATCGTGAGTTCCCACTCCTCTCGATTCACCTTGCCGGCATTACTATGCCTCTATCTCGATGTTTTAAACGAAAATCCACTAACAAGACCTACCTATGTAGTTCGAATACACCACCCAACTTTCTGTCACATCCAACCAACAATTGATCCGGCCTCAGGGCAACGAGTCGTCAAACCTTCCTCCTGTTCAGATGATTTTCTGCCTGAAGCAGAAGAACAGTAAGAAGATCAACTCTCACCGCTGGCTTTTTAATGGTTTCAGTCGAATCCTTAACCCCGAAGTGGTGATTCTCCTTGACGCCGGAACTAAGCCGGGAAAGAAATCACTCCTTGCATTGTGGGAGTCCTTCTACAATGATAAGAACTTGGGTGGATCTTGCGGTGAGATTCACGCAATGTTAGGAAAGGGATGGAAGAATTTGATGAACCCCCTTGTCGCCGCACAGAACTTCGAGTACAAGATCTCCAACATTCTTGATAAACCGTTAGAGAGTTCCTTCGGGTACGTCAGCGTGCTACCGGGTGCCTTCTCTGCGTACCGTTATCGTGCTATCATGGGTCGTCCCTTGGAGCAGTACTTCCACGGTGATCATACGCTATCTAAGCAGTTGGGCAAGAAGGGTATTGAGGGCATGAACATCTTCAAAAAGAATATGTTCCTTGCTGAGGACCGTATCTTGTGTTTCGAGCTTGTGGCAAAGGCTGGATTCAAATGGCATCTAACCTACGTGAAGGCGTCAAAGGGCGAGACCGATGTGCCAGAGGGCGCATCCGAGTTCATCAGTCAGCGACGTCGTTGGTTGAACGGTTCGTTCGCCGCCAGTTTATATGCAATGATGCATTTCGGGCGGATTTATAAGAGTGGCCACAATATCTTACGGTTGTTTTTCCTGCATATCCAGATGACATACAACTTCATGGGTCTTGTCATGACCTGGTTCTCTCTCGGTATGTCATGAATCTCGTCTTCTTTAGTGAATCTTTATACTAACACATGACTACCTAGCTTCGTTCTGGTTGACTACTACTGTCATCATGGATCTTGTCGGAACCCCTAGTGATTCGAATAAGAATAAGGGATGGCCTTTTGGTAATGAAGCCTCGCCAATCGTGAACAACTTCCTAAAGTATGGATACGTGTTCTTCTTGATGCTGCAGTTCATCCTGGCGCTAGGAAATCGACCGAAAGGGTAAGTCAGGATCTGAAGGAATCACCCCACAGTATCGATCTGACCTGTCAAACAGTTCGCGTCTCGCATACACGCTTTCGTTCATCTACTTCAGTATCCTTCAAACTTACGTCATTATTCTATCGTTCTACCTTGTCAAGAATGCCTTCACCGGAGGTACACTTGATTTCTCTCTGGACGAAGGTGTCGGCCATTTCCTTAAGTCTTTCTTCGGCTCTGACGGGGCCGGTATTGTCCTGATCGCTTTGGTTTCGACTTATGGTATTTACTTCCTCGCAAGTTTCTTGTACATGGATCCCTGGCATATGTTCACGTCCTCCTGGGCGTACTTTGCTGGCATGACCTGTTCTATCAATATCCTGATGGTCTACGCTTTCTGCAACTGGCATGACGTTTCCTGGGGTACCAAGGGCTCCGATAAGGGCGACTCGCTTCCCGTCGTTGAGACCAAGAAGGATGACGCCAAGTCAAACTTCATTGAAGAAGTTGACAAGCCGCAGGCCGATATCGATAGTCAGTTTGAATTGACGGTCAAGCGAGCGCTAGAGCCGTATGCTGAGCCTGAAGATAATGATGAACCAAGCATGGACGATGGTTATAAGGCTTTCCGAACCAACCTGGTGTTGATTTGGATTTTCAGCAACCTGATCCTTGCACTGTGTATTACTAGTGAAGGAATCACCCGTCTTTGTCTTACGGTATGTATCTTGTTAAACTTTAGGCTGTGGCATAAACTAACACCCACAGAACACTTCTACCGTCCGCACCTCAAAATACTTCGCCGCTATTTTGTGGATAACGGCCGGTCTGTCGATTTTCCGCTTTATTGGATCCCTCTGGTTCCTGGGCAAGTCTGGTATCTTGTGCTGTGTCTCTCGTCGTTAAAACCTTTCTCGGTATAGCCAGTTGTAAATATCCGTCCTTTGGCTTGCGGTGGTATTTTCGGTCCCCATTTTTTTGATAGAACTTTTGTTTGATGTTTCACGCTCTGTATTCCCCACGTTTGCAGCCACAATGGCATCTATGGTTTTCTTTTTGGGCATGTATATGTACTGGAAAAGAGGGGATTCTTTCTGTGTTTTTCTTGTTGCATTTGTTTTGCATCTTCGATGGAGCTAATTTATCGACTATTATGAGAATGAGTACCATTTGACTGTACTTTTGTACTTTTGTACTTTCCCACCTTCTCCCTTCTTCGCTTCCCCGACTTCCCGCCCTTTACATATGCACCCTAGTCCCTAGTTGGTTGCCATGTACGGAGTACGATGTACACCATATATTCGGTCCAGTTCTCCGCTTAGACATAATCCTATTCTTCTCTCTAGCATCACATCCACTTTTCAACATGTTTCTAGGCTGTCGGGGGACTTTTTGAGGAGACATCTGACCCAATCCTCGGGGCACAAGATTCCGAGAGACCCCCTGGTATAGGTTAAGGAAGCCAATGTTAATTTCCCAGGTGTTAGCCTGGTTTCCTCCCGCGTCCGTGTGTTTTGGCTTCGCGTTTTCCATCTGCACACCAACGTCATTGGCTAAGGCCTCTTCGCAGCATCCCATTTTGATTTCTATCATGGCTGGTCTTTCCCATTAGCCCGGGTGCCTATGGAATCCCTCATATGTTTATGCAAAAGCCCTTGATGGACACAACCCGGATGTGCGTTCTTGGCGCTCGGCTGAGTTACCGTTGTCTCTGGGGGCTGTGTCCATATTTATGGGGTGCCACGGCTTAGGGATAGTGTTATCCAACCAGATTATTTCCTTCCCCTCAAAACCTGGGGGTTGTATTAGGATTTTGTAGGATACTTTGACTGTGACCCCTATGTCTGCATAAGGCAGCTCATGCATATAAAAGCGAGCTTATGGTCCGCAGTTAGCAATTTATTTACCTATCTGCAAATCCCACTACTCTTTCCCTGGCCTCACGATTATCTCTATTATTTCACCCAAGCCTCCCCACTGATCTGCCCCTAATGTCGCAGTATATCCCCAGCATTCCCACCAATTGCCTCTCCAAAAAGGTCGTTCTCATCACAGGTATGCCGAACCCTTCGCCTAACTTCCCTGCTGCCATCTTATCCCAGCTTCTACAGGTGGTGCCAATGGCATTGGTTCGAGCCTGGTGACCCAATGCTTGGAGAGTGGTGCCAATGTATGCATTGGTGACCTCGATAATATCTCCGGCGAGCGTCTACTGAAGAAATGCTGCGACCAATTCCACCCGGAGGAAGAAGACATGGCCCCACGCGCCATTTTCCAGACCACCGATGTTGCCAACTACTCATCGGTGTTGGCACTGTTTGACCTAGCCTTTAAGACCTACAAGCGCATCGATCATGTTGTCTCGGCGGCTGGTATCGTGGAAATAGGGAATTGGTTCGATACTTCACTCACGCTGGAGACCGTCCGCCAGGTAAGCTATTGCTAGTCGGATAACAATCTCGGTTGCTTGACCAGGCTTCTATTTCAGAAGCATCTGACAATACGATCTTACCTCCAGACCCCCACCCACAAAGTCATGGATGTCAATCTCCTCGGGTCCATGTATGTTACCCGCATTGCCTCTGTCTACTTGCGCCATAACCGTGGATCTAACTGCGACCGGTCGATTCTCCTATTTTCATGTGTCTCTGGTTTCAAAGATAGCCCGTCTCTTTTCATATACCAAGCCTCCAAGCACGGTGTGACTGGCCTCATGCGTTCCCTACACACCTATATCTCCTCTCCGTACAAGCACTATCTTCGTATCAATACCGTCTGCCCTTGGGTGACCCAAACCGATAGCATCAAAAAGGTCGAGTCACAGTGGAAGCGGGCCGAACTTCCCATCAATACTCCTGAGCAGGTTGCTACTGTTGCCACCGGAGTCTTGGCTGATCAGTCTCTGAACGGCACATCAATGTTCATTGAAGGTGGCCGTGCTTGGGAAATTGAACAGAACATCGACCGACTAGAGACCAAATGGCTGGGTGAAGCGCCGTCCAAGGTGCTAGCTTTGGGCCAGGGGCTGCTCGATGATGGTTCTATCTGGACCGCACCGGAGCGACCCCGAAAAATGAGCAGCATTTCTGTTGGGGTACCACCTGGAGTGCCTCTTCATAAGATAAATGGACTCACTAATGGGGGGAAACATGCCATCTCGGATGGAGTGACCCATGGAATGCCAGATGGTTTGTTCGACCAACGGGGTAACTGATGGATTGACCAATGGAGTGCACTAAAAGGGGCTGCTTTGACATATCATTGCTGATGTTCATAGAATATGTGATGCTTTATATATTGAACACGTCCAATAAGTGATAGGGATGAGGTATCAAGAATGACGAGTGACGGCTGTTTACTTTTTATATTCTCACAAGAGTAGGCGCCCATGTCGCCTCTGTCCTTAACTGCGAAGGGGCAGAGCGGCCAAAGGACAAATGCCTGATTTTGCAGGGTTGGTGCCTTAATATGCCTGAATTATAGACCGCTTTCGACACCGCTCTATACGCTATTCCTACGGAGTACAAATCTCCATATCCGTGATTGTCTCTCGAGTTCGAAGACAAGATCGTCAAATCTTCAAGTGCAATTATAATTAGTAGTCAACGCGATCTATGGTATATGGAACTCGACAAAAGTAAAAAGCAAAAGACGAAGCAATGCGACATGGGACGACGTCTAGCCCGCTTGGTATATCTAGGTCTCCCAAGACGCCTGTGTTCCCCCTTCTATGATCGATAGCTTGGATTATTTGAACGACTCCCGCGTATGAACGCGGTCGACGTCGTAAGGGTTGGCTTCATATGTGGGAACCCGATGAATGGGATGCGTGGCATTGGTGGAAGTGCGCGAAAGAGTGCGATGAATTGACTGAACATCGGCGGGGGTCTCCTTGCTGTGAGGAAGCGATGCGACGGCATCGTTTGCCGATGTTGGTGGGGAAATTTCAAGTTTAGTCTCGGTAGACTCCTCAGCGGCCTTTTGCATGCCCCGAAGAAGGTTTTGAACAAAGGCCTCAGACTGCGCAGAGTACTTGCAGTGCTTTCGGATGGACAGTCCATATTTATAGAGCAGGAAGGGGAAAGGTACACATGCAAGAGCCAAGAACGCCGGAACACAGGATGCCCAATGGATTCCCAAATCTTCGTACATGTACTTGGTGAACAGCGGGAATGCAAATCCGAACAAAGACCGCAGTAGCGTGTTGGCTGCCAAGACAGAAGCCGCGAAGATGGTGTAAGCATCGATCAGGTAGTTGAAGACACTGAGGAAGACGAGCAGCATTCCGAAGCCGAACGGAACTCCAGCTGCGACGCTCACAAGCCAGTGGACGGATGGAGAGTTAGTCCATGCGAACCAGAAGAGTCCTATTGGGAGGGCAATAGAGGCCAGCATACACGGCGGAAGACGGGCTTCTGGAGGCGCATAGCCACCGTTCTTCTGAAGGAGTTTCGCGTAACGCTTGTTTTCAGGGATTGAATACGCAACCGCACCAATCATACCAATCATGACACCGATAAAAGCTAAGCCGCCGACACCTTGATTCCATCCACGGTGGAGCTGATACACAATCGGGAAGGCGCCGAACAGCATATAGAGGGTTCCGTAGATGATAGCAAGATAGATCGAGAGCAGCAAGACGATAGGTTCTTGAAAAAGAAGAATCATGGGTCGCGAGAGAGAGATTTTCAAGGCGGCTTTCAAAGTGAGACGCCCTTGATCAATATCTAACTTGCTGAGGTATACCCGACCTGTGAGCTTAGAGAGAGTATTTGCACGCTGGCGAAGAAGAACGGGGGCATAGGTCTCAGGCTTCAACGCGGCCCCTAGGACCCACATGACACCACAGAGGATGCCCAAGAGACCCATCACCCACTTCCAGCCTCCGCTTGACATACCGAGGAAGCCGCCAGCGATAGGCCCAATGACGGGTCCCAGGAATGGAGCCAACGCGAAGGCCGATAATGCTAATCCTCGATCGCGAGCCATGAACATGTCGGCGATGACACCGCCCGAATTGGTGAGGGGAGAGGAGCCGAAAGCACCGGATAAGAATCGGAAGATCAGTAAGGTCGCCATGTTCTTTGCGCCCGTACAAGCGGCACAAAAGATGGTCAAACCGCAGTAGGTTGTGACGAAGACAAGTTGGCGACCGAAGATTTCACTCATCGGGGCCCAGATCAGAGGACCCAAAGCAAAGCCCAGTACGTAAAGTGATACTCCCAAGGTCGCAACCTCTGTGGTTGCGCCAAATCGTTCTTGAATTTGAATGATACCACCAGTATAGGCGGACGAGACCAGAGCGACGACCAAGGTCTCGATAGCGGCGACCACGGTGATGAACCATTTCATGGATGTTTTTAATTGGAGAGGGTTTCGAAAGTCCTTGGGCATCCATTCCACGACATAGGGATCCTGTTCGGTCCCTGAGCCGGCATAAGGGTGGTCAGCAACCTCTTGGGTGATAGCACCAGGGTTGAGGATGAGTCGCCAGAAGGGGATGGAGTTTGGCAACTGCAGGGAGTTGGTTGTCTCGGAGACCTCCATAGTTGCGACTCAGAGATCACCTCCACAGAACTATGGGTATAGATCTGCGTAGGATATGATATAAGGTAGAATATGACAAAAAGGTTAAAAAGAAGAAAAATTCTCAAGAGACCGGTAGGGTTAGTTTTATTCTACTATATGTAAGATATGAAATAGTGTATGAACTCCGTACATATCGGAGAGACTGCTTGTTTTAGTTGTAATGGTGGGGGCCATAGAGTAATAAGCTGCATATTTACTCCATAACAACAAAGAAAATAGTAGAAAAGTGCTTTCATTGGCTTTGATCACCTTCGAGATCCCGACTATCTCCACTTAGTCCCGGCCCGATCAGTAATCCATTTCTCGGCTAGGCCGATGTTTTGGAAGAATTTTTCTTCTTTTAAGCCGAGGTTCATTTAGGATGTTAATATAATATAATATTATGTATGTATTTAGGGCTATATCACCTTCATTATTTATGCAAATTCTCGTACATAACTGTAGTATAACTAATATCTCGACGGAGTATTACTCCCTCTTGTTATAGTATATACATATGTTGTAGTAGACCAGACTTGATTCTCTAGATCTGCATGTAATTTTCTAGATATGAAAACAAAATACCGTTATATGACGAAATTTTAGCCCATGAAGGTACTTATATGCATGTTGATGGTGTGATATCTGATTGCTGAGTTCGTCCCAAATGCCCATTGGGCCGATTAGAATGTGATGTATACCTACATGTACACTAGTGCTGCTATCAGCCGCTGGGGCTGGAGATAACAGTTGAGCCTACGGAGTACAACACACTGGGCTAAACTATCAATCCTAGTCTCACCATATAAATAAGAGTCTGTGGTAATGTTATATTTAAGAAACTACATACTGCATGTAGTACTAGTAGTACGATTAGGCTTTAGTATACCTAGTACTCCGTACCTAGTACCTACATCTACTCCGTAGTGTAATACAAAGTACTGGAAGGTGATGTCTTGAAGGTGATGTCTTGGCAGAAGCCTGAGGGCTGAGGCCACGAATCTTTGACCCCCTGACCTGTGGTCACCCGTGGACATGTACGCACCCATTTCAACATTACTTCACCACAGCAAATAATCATCCCCCCCCAAAAAAGAAAGCGAAGGTTCATCTGCATTGATACACGTCTAACTAAATTACAGGCTTTTTTCGATCTCAGCGACCTCAGCCATCACCTCTCGGACCGCGATTTTGGCCCCCTCTCCCACCTCTTCGTAAGGGTGTCGAGGGGCCAGATTACCTGCTGCATTCGGGATCCCTGCCAATGGGGCGGAGTAGCATGCAACTGCATGCTTAGTTGTCGCAATGCCACTTTTGATGGCACTTTCTGCGAGCGCTGCCTTCCTTTGGAGGTCCACGGCTTCCTTGATCTGGCCCTTCTCATACAACGCATAGATCCGAGCCGCCACCTTGGGAAAGACATTGGCGAAAGCGGCGATGCATCCAACGCTTCCTGCAGCTAGCCCGCCAATCAGGAAATCGGATTGCCCACCAAAGGTCGCAAAGTCCTCGGGCGCAAATGCTGCGGCTAGCCGAGTGATCTTTCCCACTGACCCACAGGTCAACTTGACACCGACCACGTTGGACCGTCCACTAGCGTTCGCAGATGCTGACTCTCGTGCGATAGCGGTAATGGTCTCAGAGTCCATGTCCACCCCGTTGCACACCCCCGGGAAATTGTATATCACCACTGGAAGAGGCGACTTGGCTGCCACTTCAGAAAAGAAGCGCTTCACCACGTTCATGTTGGTAGCTTTGCCGAAGTATGCGGGAGGGAGGACGAGAAGGTAGTTGGCGCCCGCGGCAGCGGCATCCTGTGCGAGCTCGAGGGTCTGCTTGGTGGAGTGCGCACCGACACCGGCCATCAGCGGAAAATCAGGCCCAACGGCGGCTCGTGCAGTTGAGATGAGTTGAGATCGCTCTTCACGAGTGAGGAGGAAGGCTTCTGAGTTGGTCCCCAGGATCACTAGACCTGCTAGCCCGGTTTTGGATAGATAGGTAAAGTACTTAGACTGAGAAGCGAGATCTAATGAGTCGGTATCATGGTTGAAAAAAGTGACCGCAGGACACCAGACTCCCGATGAAGGGACATGAGGCTGGGGAGAAACGGCAGTGTGAGAACCCATTGTAGAGATTGTAGAGGTTGTGAAAGTATGCACTCATCCAGTAGTCCTAGTAGTCCTAGTATAACTCTTATATGATATCCATGTCCGATGAGATTCCCCCCCTCGGATCAAAGTGAGGGGCAAAACGGCCATATCTCCGATTAATTTAAGCTATTTGGCCGCTGTTTTGACGTTCGAACTGCCAGGATCGGATGCTAGAACCGACGAAGCCAATCTCGTACACAGATGAACAACCTAAATGAGTCCACTCTCGGGCCCTCCACCCGATCAGCAAATTAGAACTCTTTATTTAATCTAATTGAATCTGGTTTGTTTGACTCGGCCCTATTTCCGAGAGATATACTCCCTATATACTACTTAGTTAGGCGGGGCTGTGCAAGTGCGGGGGGGGGGGGGNGGGGGGGGGGGGGGGGGGGGGGGGGGTATTTGGGTAACTCGGCCAGGAACCCGAGTATGATGATATCACGTCAAGCATTCCCGTCGGCATACTCCGTCCAGCTTCCTTTAATACCAAAGAGGACACCCAGATTGATCCAGCACTCTTTTAGCCACACTGCTAAATTGAGCCAGTTTTACACAATGGCTTCTGAAACCATCACCCGGAACGTTGGCACTCAGTCCTGGTTTGATCAGGCTCGTTTTATCCCACCCGACGCAATTTTTGCATTGACTGCTCAGTATATCGCAGATAAATCTCCCAAGAAAGTCAACTTGGGCCAGGGTACGTACCGCGACGAGCATGGGAACCCGTGGGTTCTCCCCTCGGTTAGGAAGAGTCGGAAGTTGCTATCACAGGAGTTGAATCACGAATATCTCCCTATTGTCGGCCTAGCAGATTTCCGCAAAGAGGCTGCAAAGCTAGCACTTGGCCCAGAGCTGTTTCAAAAGCAACAGAGCAAAGTACTGCAACTCCGTACTCGTCACAACATTGAATCCTGTTAACAAAGCTGATTGTTGTATAAATAGCTGGCGACTTGCCAGAGTCTCTCCGGTACTGGGGCACTACACCTGGCTGGACTGTTGCTAAGAGCTTGCAAAACACCTCTTCCCAAAGTATACATCCCTGAGCCCACTTGGTCGAACCACCATCAGGTGTTTTCGTCCCTTGGATTCCAATGTGAATCTTTCAGATACTACAACCCAGAGACCAAAAATTTGGACATTGATTCTTATTATTCCGCATTGAAATTGGCCGAGCCCAATTCTGTGTTCATCATCCATGCATGTGCTCATAACCCAACAGGGTGTGATCCGAGCAAGGAGCAATGGCGAGAACTTGCGCGCCTCTTTAAAGAGAGGGAGTTGTTCCCACTTTTTGACGCTGCTTATCTAGGGTTCAACTCCGGAAATGTTGATAGTGACGCCTTTGCTATTCGGCTATTTATCGAGGAGATGAATTTGGAAGCTGGAGTGTGTCTGTCTTTTGCAAAAAACATGGGTCTCTATGGTATCTACCCGTGCCACGGTCGGTTCATAGTCAAAATGATAGTCAATAACATTCGATAGGGGAACGAGTCGGCTGCTTTTTCCTGGCAACGGGCACTGAAGAAGCGGCTGTAAAGACCCAATCAATGCTTGAAATGCTTCAACGTTCTGAAGTTTCGAACCCTCCAGCCTATGGTGCGAAGATTGCGAGCACCATATTAGCCGATGCTACCCTTAGGGAGGCTTGGCATGATGATCTGATCACAATGAGCAGCCGCATTCGCTCTATGAGGTCTGAATTGTATGATAGTTTGGTATCATCCGGTGAGCATCGCCTGCCCGCAATAGACGACCAAAGGTCTTTTAACATGACTAGGCGCACCTGGCACTTGGGAGCACCTGATCCGCCAGTCCGGAATGTTTGGATTTCTGGGACTTCCCCCGAGCGTCGTGCGAACGCTTCGAGGTTTGTTCTGTCGTTGGAATTACTCTTTTTGTGATATACTGACATGTGATGACCTTAGAGCAATACCATATCTACATGGCAGACAACTCTCGCATATCAATTGCTGGCCTCAACAAACAAAATGTCGATTACGTTGGAAAGTCAATCACTGACTGCTTGAAGCAAGAATGATAGTCAAAACCTGCTAGAAAAGTGATATTCACGGGGGGCAGTGAGGTTCTGGTGATTGGTCAATTGCCCAGAGGCTTTGCTGCAGTATGTGAAAGTAGGAAAAACAGAACCGATGAGTTATGTTTTATGCATGAAACAAAGGAACATGAGACGGTAGATGCTTATCCTAGAATCTTCTCTTGCCCAAATGATGATATCGGTTTATATGGACTCTACAGGGTGCGATAGTTCCAGCAGCTCTGCGACTCAACGACCATCGCCCTGGACATGATGGGGTTTCCCCTGGTGTTACGAGACGGTGGTGTTGTTTGTGGATTAATCGCATGCCTAATGAAATGTTCAGCCCGTTTGAGTTAAGCGAAGAGAGAAATGTTATACGTGTCCGTCGTCATGCCCAAGACTATAATATAGTCTTCCAAATTAACGGCTTACCATACAGCCAATTCTGAGGGGAGGCTTCGCCATTCATACCTAAACATATTTCAAGGAAGGTTGAGCCATACTATCGGGGGAGAAGCAAAGCATTTCGAGAACGGAGCTAGAAGAACTTTGGACCACTCTGTAGAGATATTAATTTCGTCTGTGGGATCCATCTCGGCTCACTTTCCTACCAGTCTGTTGACTAGACTATATCATGTCAAGAGAGCCATACTCAGCACGCAAGGGTGATCACGTGGCGTTACGATCGAAATATAGAAAAACAGACTGGGGGTTCGCGGTGATTGATTGGCAAGTACTGCAACTGCGGAAATTCAATACAAGGGGTGTTCTCGGCCGCTATTCTGTGCGTTGGCGACAATTGCGGCAAGGATGAATCAGATCACACACGCCTGGATCTTGCGATGCATGTTCAATATTGCATGATCATTAGATTATTGGCAAAGCCGCTGTTGTAGATAAGAAAATGTGCTTGAGGAAATCGTCCCACTTTTATTTGAACACCCCATTACTCCAACACCGAAATCGGAGTCTATACTTCATACGGGGTGCCTGGCGGTCATTGACATGGCTGCGAGGATTGAGGCAACTGAACGAAGATCATCACGGTCGCGACAGGTCGCGCGCGAAACGCGGAACTAGAAGGGACGAATTTCTGTTATTTGACGAGGATATTCATTGGAAATATCTTGTACAACACAAAACGCAAATGTTGGGTTGAACGGATTCCCAACATTAAATCGCGCATGCGGTCTGCCGTGTTTCAGGGTTGAGGGTACATCAATGGGCCGAGATGACCCGCAGTTTCCGTGTATTCTGCGGATCTTTCTAGCGGATTACTATATTGGCGGTCAACTAGTCTGGGGGAACGTTAGCACCAATATAAGCAATGATCATGAGGTAGGCACAGAGTACGCGGAGTATGTTGTACTCTGTACAACGGTTGTAGATGCGAAAATCGGGGGAATTGAGTTCATTACGTGTGGAGTACACAGGCCCCGGCCGGGATCTCACGGGATGAGTTGGAGACTGGGGGATTTTCTCGAAATGATGTCTATGACCAGCCGTCTCTGGGGGATATCCATTCTATCCCATTTGAGATTTCGGACAACACGACGAATCATGAAGTCAATACGGAGTAGTTGCGGTATTTTCCTATGGCCGCTAAACCGAATGGCGTTGGTGGCGCTCCGCATCTTCAGGTTTAACGTATACCCCAAGAGGATCTTGGTTTCTGTTTGGGAGGGGGTCAGGAAAGGAGTTGTTTTGCATGGTATACGAGTATACCCGGTGTTATCTGAACCTTGTACTTCGTATACTCTGTAAGGAGTGTATGTAGGACGATGTACGGAGTAGGTAGGATCAGAACGCAGTAGCTTGCCGTTGGTTGCCTGATGTGAGATCCCCGATTTGCTCTGTTTGCATCCGTCACGTGACTCAGCCCAAAATCTTATCGCCCGCCCAGCCAACACTTCCGAGTCTTTCATTGGCAAGTCGGCTCTCGGGATCTTCTTGTGGCGCGATTAAAGAAACCCTCTAAAATCTTTTATATTGTTCTTTATTCGATGAACTTTTTCTGTTCTTTTGCCTCAAATTTTGCTCTACCCCCGCAATCAGTAACGCGGGGGAGAGACTCCATAGCGTGACATTGTCAAAGCACTCGGTGGCCCTCAGGTGGCCCTCGAAGAACGCATTACACCAATGTTGCATTTCTTTTACCTAACGTTCCGAACCTTCTTATCACACTACGGACACTAAACTGGGGCGCTAGGCTTGCGTTTCGCCCAGAGCTCCACTGTCATCCACTTCCAGTCTGTTTCCGGTGAGCTCGTTGGGTGGCCGATCAACTTGAGTGGATCAGCGTCGTACTCCACGTGTTGGAGCAGCCAAGCAGAGCTCACAAATCTTTGTTAGTCATGGAATCCTGCTTTGCCTCCTGATAGTGCCCGCATTCGAAGTGCGCAAAATTTCCCTTCTTATATTCCAGGTCACCTCCCTTCCGTTTCGCCTGGCAGACTAGCCTCACTCCCAACATCATCATGGGTCTCGAAAACATCTCTAACGACCATAGCACCGACAAGGTGATGGGAACGGAAGGTGAGAAGGCCGCATATGCTCCCCCTCCGCCGTTTGAGGGGGACATGGTCGGGGAAATGAGCGAGGCTGAAAGAAATATCTATGACCACGGCATCAAGAAGTTCAACCGTCTCGGCTGGAAGCGACTCACCATCGTCCTAATTGTCGAAGCCATTGCACTCGGCAGTTTGTCGATTCCCTCCACCTTTGCAACACTAGGCATGGTCCCCGGTGTGATTTGCTGTGTGGGCATCGGTCTTATCGCCATCTATACCAGTTACATTGTCGGAATGGTCAAATTGGCCTTCCCCGAGGTTGCAAACTATGCCGATGCGGGCCGGTTGCTGGGCCATCGGTTAGGGTGTGGTCGCTTTGGATACGAGCTAGTCAATGGGATGCTCGGACTCCAACTAATCTTCCTCACGGCCTCGCACTGTCTGACGGGAACCATCGCATTTCTCGACATTACCAAAAGCGGCATTTGTTCGATCATCTTTGCCGTGGTTTCCGCCATCATCCTGCTGTTACTCGCCATCCCGCCCAGTTTCACCGAGGTGGCCATTCTGGGTTATGTCGATTTTGCATCCATCATCATTGCCATTGGAATCACAATTATCGGTACGGGTGTGCAGGCGACTGACTCACCCGGTGGACTCTCCGGAGTTGCATGGTCTGCGTGGCCGAAGGATAACCTCACTTTTACCGAAGGCTTTATCGCTGTGACGAACATTGTTTTCGCTTACAGTTTTGCCATGTGCCAATTTTCTTTCATGGACGAAATGCACACTCCTCGAGACTTTGTTAAGTCAATCTGGACGCTAGGTATCACCGAGATCATCATTTACACGGTGACTGGTGCCACTATCTATGCCTTTGTTGGCCAGGACGTGTCCAGCCCTGCACTTACCTCTGCTGGAACTACCCTCAGCCGCGTTGCATACGGTGTTGCTCTCCCTGTCATCTTCATCAGTGGTTCGATCAATACCGTTGTATTTGGGCGTTTGGTTCATGGTCGTATCTTCGCCAACTCCCCCATCCGCTTCATCAACACCAAGATGGGATGGTTGACATGGCTGGCGGTGATCACGGCCGCCACAATTGCGGCATTCATCATTGCCGAGGTGATTCCTTTTTTCAACGATTTGCTTTCAATTTCTTCTGCTCTTTTCATCTCCGGTTTCACCTTCTACTTCCCTGCCATGATGTGGTTCTTGCTCCTCCGGAAAGGCAGCTGGAAAGAGCCCAAGAACATGATGCTGGCAGCCGTAAACGCACTGATCTTCCTCATCGGTATGGTGGTGCTTGTTGGAGGAACCTACTCCAGCATCGATGACATTGTAAGTTTTTCCCCATGGTACTTATTTCTGTGGCAGGAATTGTGTTGCTAACTTCTCAACTAGGTCATCAAGTACGACAAAGGAGAAGTTCGTGGTGTCTTCTCTTGCGCTGCTCCCAAGTAAGACTAGTCGGTCTTTTTTTTATTAGCATATCTCAACATGAGTTATGAGCGTGCTCAAGCTGGTGCTTGCACAGAAATTATTCCCTTAGTCCTGGTTTGGTTTGAGATAGGAAATTCATTTCTAGGCGTTGCATCTTCATGATTCATGAAATCATTGAAGCAGGAAGCGAAATATGTATATGTATTATAGTGTTCATCTCATTCTATACTCATGATAAGCCACGAGATTCTTTCCAAGATTGACCATCAGTACTCCGTACAGAGTACTCCAAATAAGATTTAAAATGCACTACAACATACTCCGCTCCAGCAGTGGAAGCAAATTTTGTGAAGGAAAAACGGTGAGCCACAGCCACTCCCGTACTATTTATAGATCCTTGTCAAGGGACCCGCCAGCCCCAAGAAGTGAAATGCCCGAAAAATGGCCACAAAAACCGGTTTAGATAGTTACACCTATTATTATACCTATGTTGTATATGCAGTATGTTTCTCCGCTGCATAAAAGTATTGGACCCTGATTGGCCTTGATTCGGATCTCGTGGGTACTAGTATAAGTCGGAGAAACAAAAGAAAAAGAAAATGTGGAGAGCAATACAATACTCCGTACTATGAAGTCATCTAAGGGCCAGGTATTTTGCTCAGAGTATTCAAGCTCAAGCTGAGAATTATGAAAATGCTATGAATACAAACCAATAATCCATAAAGTGCTTATTATGTGTATACCTAGGTAAATATAACAAATGAACTTGGATCTGGATCTGGCATATTATACGGATACGGAGTACGGAGTTCTCAGGGATAAGACATCAATAGAATGATGAGAGAGATCGACAATATTGCCCCATAAAATAGCCACGCTGATGTCAATTTGGGGGATATCGACACTGTACTCCATAGTCTGATGTAGTCCGATGCTTGGCTTTTGAGAATAGTCTCCATATGGGTGAGACATCAACCTCGGCGACGGCAGTGGCGCTCCAAGTATAAGAAGGAGAAGCATTTCGGCTTCAATTCATAAAATATTAACCATCAATCCTCTCAATCTTCTCAATCTAAACATTCTTACATTTTCTCAACCCAATCTTCTCATCCCTATTCTCCGCCAATATGCAAATCAAGAACCTCGCCATTGCTGCCTCCGTCAGCGCCGTCGTCTCGGCCGCCCCTTCCACTCAGTCCAAGACTTTTGGCGTTGTGGCTATTCACTCCGGTAGTGGCGTACAATACTCTGCCTTCAACGCCGCTAAGAGCAGCATCTTTGCTGGTCTGCCTAGCCAGGGCGCCAGTTGCGCTCGTCCCAAGGAGCAGCAGGCTACCTTCTACATCAATGACGGTGCTCTGTACCTCTATGACCAGTCCGCCACTCCCCAGGAGATTTACGTTGATCGCTCCGGCATGGGTATGTTATCAATTTCGCAATCCCACTACATTGACAAATAACTGACTTTGATAATACAGGCCAGGGTAAGATTGGATACACCACTGGTGCTCAGCCCACTCCTAAAAACTCCGAGCGCAAGGGCTGGGCGGAGAAGGATGGCCACCTCCAGTTTGCAGGAAACGATCTGATTGCCTGCCCCAACAGCATTGACGGTTCCTGGAGTATCTGGGCTTCTGCTGGCGTTGCCAACCCTGCTGGCAACACCGACTGCGTGGGCATTGCCGCTCGTGTTGTGGAGACCTCCAATCCCAATGGCTGCAGCTACACCCAGTAGATGCTACTATGGAGCACCATATTGTGAATTTGTTAAATATCTATACTTCTTGTAAAATGTCCGGTTATACTTCTTGTTGAGACAGATCATCTGTCTTCTGTCTTGATAACTTGATGCCTGCTCTATTAGGCTTTCTCATCGCTATTTAGCTAGCCTCTGTTTATAGAGAATCAATCCTTCTTCTCTACCCTTTGGTATTCTGTCACTTCTTATATGGTTCGAGTGTGGCACTTGTGCCTACCAAGTTCATTAATCCTTCGACGCTTGAACATTGACCATTGCTACTTCGATCTTTAGACGCCTCTATATAATCCGATAATAATCTCAGCCCTCGCTTAGAAGAGAGATGATCAAGTGCAAAGCTTCTAGTATATACGAGGTGGTGATATGCAGGTTTCAGCGACAGCGACAATATATATACAACATAAGCAGAGCTAAAGACACATTAAATACAAAAACACCCAAGTATACAATACGAAACGAGATCGCCGGGTTCTCTTCTAGCTAAATATTGATATATCAATTTCCGTTACCTACATATTGCGGGCCCGAATGGGGGCCAAGGGATGCCCCTGAAAGACCGCACAATTTAATTCTCATTCTTGGCATTTTTCAAGACAAAAGAAGAAAAGGAAATCAATTTCTTGTCTTTTCGGGCAGTATTTCAGAGTTATCTGATCTCGGGCTTGCTTCTGTGTGATCGCAGCATGCTCAACAATTTTCAGGCATTTGCCGTTGCCCTCCTGGCAGGGTTTGTCACGGCAATTGACCTTAAGGCTAATGATGAGCGTAGGCTATTCTATTGATACATGAGCTTGAATTTAGATTATATCTGACATTCAAGCAGAATCTTTCAAGAATGTGGCAGCGACTGCCGCCCTCAACACAATGTCAATGTACACGTCCAACATTACAGGCCACAACCAAAACCCAGACCTACTCCGACTGGACGGAGGAGATCTGGGACATTAGTGCGAGTTTTCCGATTTTGAAAGCCGCCGAATGGACGATTAGCGGCGCGTTAGATGTTGCATCTGATTGCAAGTCAAACGGGGATCTACAGTGGACTTATAGCTATGGTGCATATATCAGTGGGGCTGCCTACATGTAAGAACGTGGTTAGTACCTAAGCCTGGATGGAGAGCGTGATGGTCACTGACATGAAGAACCAAAGGCAAATAGGGAAAGATATAAGTGGAAAACCGGCCTTGAAGGTCTTCTCAACACAAGCTTCCATAATTTCTTCCCAGAGAGGTATGGTAGCAAGATCATGGTAGAGATCAGCTGCAAGGCCCCCGGATTTTGCACCCGAGGTTAAGAGGGTTCAAGGGACTTTTTGCATCAGAACTTGCGGCTGTCACTCTTATGGCCCCCTATACCACATCCGAGATCCTATGGAGATTCCAGGGCTCCGCCACTGGAGCTGTAAAGCAATACACTGGTGGAGACAATGGGACTCTTTGTGGCCAACGGTGGTACCAGCAACCTGGTTAAGGTGAAGCCACAAGCAGCATGAGGTTACTGGAGGGAATCATCTCGTGAGAAGCTAGTTTGGCTTCGTTATTGCTCTTGTACTGTTAATCTCCGATCTAGACTGCCTCAGTGAATGAAATTCTCCTTGGAAGTATTATATACTCGCTTAGACCCAACTCCGTAGAAATATACATAACAGATATATAGATGTGATTTCCAATTCAACAAAATGAGAAAAAATATAGCCAATCAAAGGTTGAGAAATCTGACATGTTCGGCTACAACGTGCGTCCAATCGCGTCGGAATATTTGAGTCGGCAACTTTCACCAAGTTCAACCGTTCGAAAGCCAACTGTTTCTCTCAAATCAAAAAATAATATATGTGTTGTAACCATAACATCGGGTAAAAACAGGATAAGTCGCGTGTTAAAAAAAATATCCTGGATACTCCATACTCCATCCTCCGCCATACTCCGCCATTCGATGCATCTAGTCCCATCTAGACTGCCCAACTGGTTTGAACTTGTTTTGTTTGTAAATTTCCCCCTGATATTTTGATATTTTACTCTCATTCATCCTCAAATTTCCATTTCCACTTTCCACTTTTATTTCTTCTGTTCTTTCTTTCGAAATTGCAAACAATTATACATAAAAGAAAGAAGAAAAAACTGGGAATACTTGAAAAGAACTCATGTAGGTGTCACAAAACAAGGGTCTTGGCACGGACGTTGACTTTTAACAGGTATCTGGATTGCTCTACGCTTGATCTGTCCTTTGACCGCGATAGCGATCAGATAAACTCTTCTATTTTACCCATCCGTGGTCTTATGTGATCGGATGAGGGTTCCTATTGCTGTGCAGCTTGCGCTGCTGGTGTTGTTGACTGCGGTCTCGGGGGTCGCAGTGCTAGCCATCGCAACGGTAGAGAGTTGCAATCGCACGAATGAGAACCGAATCTAACTATTTTAGTGGTTTACCACCTACAACTTTGTAGTGGACGTCGAGTATGTGCTGTTTTTGTTTAATATGTAAAGTCCAAGTCTAACCTTTGAGCAGATCCCAGGGCCTCGAACTCGTTGCGACCACCAAGGCCAGTCAGATTGCTTCGAATTTGGACCTTCTCGAAACAACTTGCAAGTCCATCGCCACACGAATTCTGATTCAATCGGCCTTGAAACGCTACTATGCGGGAAATAAGTCCGACGAAAATTGGACAAACCCACGAGCTGATGTGCAATCTGCCCTAGGTAGTCGTGGATACTTGGACCTTTACCAGGCCATCATATATTCAAAGAACGGTAAAGGAGGAGAGCAGACCTTATTAAACCAGACCAGTGACAGTGTTCCGGATATCACTCTTCCATATACCTACTCGAACGGGACTTCTGTGCAATTGGGAAATGATGGACTGGGCTACCCCCCTTCCCTGTATCCAAATCTGACTTACGTTGGCGGGTCAGGCGACAACGACTCGACGATCGTCTATCCTTTCTCGGATTATACCCTCGAATTGGACTCGGCACTGCTTCTTGGTCCATTAAAAGTCAACAACTCCTTCTCTCTCCTGTCATTGACTTTGCCGATTGTCAACAACACTTCGGATACGGAAATCTTGGGCTTCATGACGTGAGTGGCTCCTTTAGATTCCATGATAATGCTAGAATTGGAACTGATCACACCCCCAAGTATTGTCGCTAGTGCCGCGAATCTACAGGGTGTTGTTAGCTCGCGAGATGGGCTAGGAAACACCGGCCAGGTCCTCCTCATTGGACCTTCACGAAAAGCAAACACCTTCGCTCCCAGTGAGCAGCCCGCAACAGCCACATCTGCAGCTAGTGCTGCCGCTCTTGATGGAGCGCAGGTTCACTACATTTTCGAGCCTACCCCTTTGCCCACTCAGGCTAGCCGGCACAGTGGTATGTCGACCGATACGCCGTTTGCCCTTTCTACGTACCCGATAGCACTCCAAGTCATGTTGCAACCATACATAGACGTGAGCAAAGCCATTAGTAACCTGTCAACTCGAAACGAGCGAAGGGCGAATGTTGCCGTGGGCGCAGTCCGTCCTCAAAACACTCTTGTCCAATGGGTTCTCCTCATAGAAGAGACTCACTCGGAAGCATTTGCGCCAGTTGCTCGATTACGGAAGATTATTCTTGCGTGCGTTTTTGGCACAGCGGGTGCCATTATACTCGTGGTCCCTCTTCTGACCCATTGGGCTGTTGCTCCTATCCGAAGACTGCGCGCGGCGGCCCGGAAATCGGTCGAGCCCAAGATTACACCACATAATCCCGCCCCGGAGCCACAACAAATTGAATTTGAAGCCGACAGTGAACAGGGAAATACAATCGGGCGAGCTGTGGAACACATGAATGAGAAAGCCCCCCCTAGCATGTGGGTGAACCGCCTGCGACGTCCCTTGATGAGATTCAACAGTTCCGCAAGCATCGGCAACCCAAAACATTCCCGAGGCTTTCAGATACCGGCCAGGGTTAAAGAAAGAAGACATTGTGTAACGGACGAGCTCACGGAGTTGACTAAAACGTACAACGAGATGTCGGACGAGCTCACAATCCAGTACAATCGGCTGGAAGAGCGAGTGGCCGAGCGCACTAGAGAGCTTGAAAAGGCCAAACTGGCCGCGGAAACTGCCAACGAGAGCAAAACCTTGTTCATTGCCAACATATCTCATGAGCTCAAAACACCCCTTAATGGAATCCTCGGCATGTGTGCCGTGTGTATGGGTGAGGAGGACCTGTCTCGGATTAAAAAGTCGCTTCAGGTGGTCTATCAGTCAGGCGACCTTCTTTTGCACCTCTTGAACGATTTGCTCACATTTAGTAAGAATCAAATTGACCAGGCTATCCAGATCGAGGAAAAAGAGTTCAAGCTGTCTGATGTTCGCTCGCAACTGGCTATCATCTTCCAAAATCAAGTTCATGAGAAGCAGATTGACTTTAGCGTCAACTTTGTTTCTGGTGGAGTGGCCGAGCCAAAAGGCGTTATATGCCGCGAGAGCGAATTAGAACAGACCCATTCAGGTTTCGGTTCAACACAGCCTGGCAGGCTGGCAGACATGGTCCTTTGGGGTGACCAACATCGAATCCTCCAGGTACTAATCAATTTGGTCAGCAACAGTCTCAAGTTTACACCCGAGAATGGGAAAGTAGAAGTTCGCATCCGCCTTGTAAATGAAACTTCAAGACTTGAAACCCATATGTCTCTGAATGAAACGGCTCGACGCAGCTCACAAATACGGTCCCAGACCGACTCAAGTATCAACTCGCCGATACATGGTGTTGTCAATGTGGCCGAGGGTCAAACCAAAGGACAGAGAGTGTCACAGTCTAATCTTCGCCAGCTTAGCTTTCAATTTGAAGTTCAAGACAACGGGCCAGGCATTCCTGGCCATCTCCACCGCCGTATCTTTGATCCTTTCGTTCAAGGCGACCTAGGGTTGAACCGGAAATATGGGGGAACTGGTTTGGGTCTCAGCATTTGTGCTCAGTTATCCCGCATTATGGGAGGTGACATTCTGCTAGATAGCGAAGAAGGCAAAGGGTCTCTTTTTACTTTGAGAATCCCCTTGGGGTATGTCAAAGAATTGTCCCCAAGCACACATGCTTCAAGCATTCCAGGATCCAGGACACCAAGTGTCCTGTCCTTGGAAGAATTTTCCAACGCCGCGCGAACACCCTCAAATCATGGGTCAGTGAGGAGCGAACCCCCTGCGCCTGGATTCGAGAAGTCAGAAATCCAACCACGTTTGGTCGGATTGAGTCAGCCATTTTTCGCACCCACTGTTCCATCGCCTCCTGCATCAGTACCCAGCAATTTGCCACCTAATAAAAGCACATCCGACAAGGGCGATGGCTTAAAGCGGATACGTGTGTTGGTTGCCGAAGATAACACTGTCAACCAGGAAGTAGTTCGACGGTGCGTGCTGGTGAAAATCTCCGCGAGGTATTCTAAATGCTGACTTACATGCTAGGATGCTGGCGTTGGAGGAGGTTTACGATGTGATAATCGTGAAAGACGGCCAGGAGGCATATGATACCGTGAAATCGAATATGGAGAAGGGAGATGTGTTTGACCTAATTTTTATGGATATCCAAGTAAGAAGCTTGTGTTTGCACAATCGTGAAAATACTAATCAATGCAGATGCCGATTCTCGATGGTCTCGAGAGCACCCGACTTATACGGCAGATGGGATACTCTGCACCAATCGTCGCATTAAGTGCTTTTGCAGAAGAAAGCAATATCAAGGACTGCATGGATTGCGGAATGGATATGTTTATAAGGTCAGCTGGTGCTATCAAGGAACGTGACTACGATCTGCCACTAACTAAAACAGTAAACCTATTCGAAGGCCTGCGTTGAAGCAAGTCCTTAGCAAATTTTCCACCATCATTGAGGAAACGGAACTGGGCTCCTAAGAATGATAAACAGTTCTTAAAAGATAGGGAAGAAAGAGGATGTTTTGCAACCAGCTAGGTATTCATTCAAAAGACGTACATAATCAAGTCTATCTAGCTGTCCTATAGGGCCCCCCAAGCCTACTTGAGGTGTACGGTATAAGCATGGGTATATAATGCACTAAACAGCCACGTCCTCTACAAAGACCTCGAGATTGAGCTTGAAGAGTCTTAGATTCGATCATGATACGCTAGAGGAACTTGGCAAGGAACAGCAAATCAAAGATAGAATGTACGATCTATGCTTGTCTATAGATATCTGTAAGGCGAGCTTGAAATCATACGAAGTTAAATCCTATTGCTACCATGCTGGGACAGTACTGTAAGTGGATCTGGGCAGCTAAGTGGGTTTGGGGGGGTTTTACACAAAAGCATGAGGCTAGTCTGTGAGTTAGGCACTCGATACGATGGGAGAAGGCAAGTAGCAATGAATGTATACATAGAAAGTGGCGATTGGACTGTTACTGTGACTTTGATTTTAGTTGCTTCAGAAAATTGATTTCATTAATGACAATGGCAATCCCATCATGACAGTGGCCAGTGATCTATATATTGTCCCGAATAGCCAAATCATGCATCATGGAGTGTGAAAACAACACAATGGGAGTATTCTAATAGGCAATCTCGAAGCTGTAGGTAGGATCATAGTGAATAGCCCAGTATCCATCCCAGATATTCTTGGTAACCGACCCAACCTTTCCATCCTTCACCGGCTTGCCATCAAGACTGGTAATGGGCATAATACCACCAGCAGTGGTACACATAAAAATCTCGTCTGCGTCATAAACCTTTTGCACAGGTACCAACTCAACCTTGATCTCAAAGCCGCTGGCTCGAGCGACATCAATCACACTCTTGCGCGTAACACCCTCAAGTACCCCACGAGCTGGAGTGTACAAGACATTGTCTTTCACAAGAACAATATTGAAGCCTGAACCTTCGGTGAGGTTAGTGTCACCGTCGGTCAGGAAGGGATATTCGGCGCCACGATCAGAAGCCTCGAAAAGGCCGCGAACTAGGTCACCCCATTGTAGGTTCTTGACAGTGGGGTCGATGCAGCCAGGTGGGACACGACGGACAGTTCGTGCAATAATTGCGCTTCCACCGACGGGCTGCACCTCGGGTTCCATGCACCAGACGTAGGGCTGAATAAACATATAGATACGGTTGACAATATCCTCCGGGCGAGAGCCTCGAACACCCTTCAACCCACGCGTCACAATTATTTCGACAAACGCGTCGCGGATGCCGCTCTTTGACACCATATCAACCAGAATCTGCTTCACTTGGTCGCGCGGGAGGGGGAGCTTCATGCGTAGCTTAGTGCAGCTGGCTTCCAATCGGGTGATGTGGTCATCGAGGCGGAAAAAGCGCCCATCCCAGACGGAGGGAACATCGTATGTCAAGTCGCTGTGCATAAAGCCTTGGTCGAGGATGGGGATACGGGCCTCGTGGAGGGGAGTAAGTTCTCCCTCCACCCAAGCGACACCTTTTGCGAAGGGGTGGGTGTTTGCAGCGAGAACATTTTGGCGCTCCTGGTAGGCGGCGAAGATCTTTTCCATTGTAGCCATAATGACTGTTTCTTGAGAGATTTTGGGAGGTTTGGGAGGTTTGAGAGTGTTGATTGGCACAATCGTATGAGGATGAGAGTGTGAGTAAACCTAGATATCCAGGTAGATATAAGGACTTTTAAGTGCCTCTGTGTGCGACACCTCACGATCGCCACAAAGGGAAATTGTTGATATGCCCAGGTGATAGTATAAGACCCGATCGGGTAAGTGGCATCGGAACTGTTTGGCGCCGATGCGGGGACCCCTCGCCTTCCCGATTTGGTAACATCCACATTGCCCGATTGGGAAGGCGGGCCAGTCAGACCCTGAGGTCAGGTGACATCGAGAGGGACGCTAGGAAAGTATTTTGAGATATTTAGTTTCAATTCAAGCCAAAATAAGACTATTTACAACTATACTACAGTATTTTCCCCCATTTTCAAGGGGGTTGAATCTCGAAGTGAAAAAACACATCATGACGAAGAACATCGTGGTAATCGGGTAAGCATCGACGATGACCTATACAGATAAATAGAAAAAGTTGTTGATAATTTGAGTAGGGCTGGTGTTGCTGGATTGACGACAGCTCTCCTGCTGTCGAAAAAATCTGGCTATAACATCGTTGTTGCAGCAAAACATATGCCTGGCGACTATGACATTGAATACGCATCACCATGGGCCGGTGCGAACTATATGCCGTAAGTCAAACAGATTCAGTCGATTCAACCTTTAACAATAGTTTCATTATTAATCCATTATTACAGAGTATCCATCAGCGGAACAGATGCTGCGGAATGGGATAAAAACACATGGGGCCCACATGAGGATCTCGCTAGAAACCAGCCTGGAGCAGGTGTACATTTTCAAGGTATATAGTTATGGCATATCTCCTTTTATTCTTGTCCTCTTTACTAAACAATCAGTATAGAATGTGAGATACACAATCGAGCGAAAGATGTCGGGTCAGCGACGGCCAATTGGTTTAAAGAGCTGTTATCCTCCAACCCTTGGTTCGCCAAGGTTGTTCCAAACGTGAGCTTTCAAAGGCCGCCAATGGCCTTTCTTGTCCCATCGGGATGCTAATTTGAAACTCAGTTTAGGTCACTCCCAAAAGAGGCTCTTGGTCCAGGCATAGATTCGGCTACAGTCTTTACCTCGGTATGTATTAACACGGCCATCTACCTCCCATGGCTTGTTTCTCAATGCCTGTCCAACGGAGTCATTTTCAGGCGAGGCGTGTTTGATCACATTCTAGATGCGACTAGATCGGGAATCCACCCGAACGGGCGTGTGGACCTAGTGGTCAATTGTACAGGTTTGATGGCGTCCAGGCTTGGCGGAGTGCAGGATACTTCAGTGGTCCCTGCAAGAGGACAGATTGTTATTGTTCGGAATGATGCAGGGAGGATGCTAGATATGTCTGGAACGGATGATGGCGAGGAAGAAGCCTGCTATGTCATGACTCGAGCAGCCGGTGGAGGCACCATCCTTGGCGGGTCTTACCAGAAGGGTAATTGGGAATCCCAGCCCGACCCAAATCTGGCAATCCGGATCATGAAGCGAGCCGTGAAGATGTGCCCTGCGTTGACGAATGGGAGGGGGATTGAACATCTGGATATCATTCGTCACGGAGTTGGACTGAGGCCTGTCCGAGAGGGCGGTAACCGAATCGAAAAGGAGCGTATTGGAGGGGTTATTGGTGGTTCACAACTATGGTGCTGGGGGTGCTGGGTATCAATCCTCATATGGATGTGCACAGGCCGCGGTCGACCTAATTGATCAAGCCTGGAATGTTCAAGCCAAGCTATAAAAGCGTTGGAAATATTGCTTTAAAAAAGCCTACATCACGCCCTAATACTTATCAGAAACAATTTCCATGGATTCATTTTGTACTTAGTACTAATAATTGTTTTACTTAAATTGAAGATGAAAGAATTCCTTCATTTGGGCAAACTCTATTGTGGCCAATACACCCGTGGACCTCTAAGCAGCTCGGGGAACTAAACGGGATAAGAGATGTCATCTCGTGAGGGGTAAAAAGGGGGTTCACGGGGTAAATTGTCAACAGATACTTCTCCTGCGGGTTTGTTTTGGGGGTTGGTCTAGTATAGCTTGAAGAGAGATAGATATTGCCTATATGTAGATGTATGTATTTAGGTATGTAACTACATACATGTGTCCATGGATACATATGTATAGAGAGATAAGAGAGATAAGAGAGATAATCAAAACCTTGTTCCGCGGTCAATTCCGGGGAATGTCACCTGCTCAGATTAATTACCCAATACAGAAGGCGGGACCTTGTTTCCTCTACTCCGTACTCCGTACAGTACACACAAAGAAGAAATGGACCATATTTCAGCATCTGACGTTATGATTTCTGATCAAGGAAAGAGAACAAATTCACTTGGATTTGCCCAGACAGATTGTCATACTTGTGCTTCTTCTAGCGAAAAGTGCGACCGACGTCGACCACGATGTTCAACATGTCTCGGGCAAGGTCGCAGATGTGGTGGCTTTGCAATGCCTCTCTTGTGGGACCCTAGGCGAATGTGGTCAGACAATTCTTCGGTAGCTGGTGCATCCAAAGGCCTACCTAATGGGGAGATCCCCACCGACTCCTCCCCCAAGCCTGTCCCCACTGCGTTTGCTGCACGGTCAGATTCACCTAGGCGATTTCGCTTTGTCAAGGGTGCTCCTAGACCAAAGAAGCGTCGAAGGGTCAACTCGCCAAAGGAGCAAGTAAGCCGAGCAGTTGTAACAGAGAACTCGGCGGTTACTCCAGAGGTCGTGCTTAGAACCACAACACAAAACTTGGAGATATTTGATGATCATCAAAGGGACAATAGTTTAGCTAGTCTGGGTATGTTCAAGTTTTCTTACACTTGCAATGTTTCATCCCTATACGTTGCTCACAACCCTTTTTCAGACCTGCAAGAGGGCTACTTTTTTGATGATTTTAGTTTATTTGACTCCATACTCCCTAACATTTTTGCGTCCACGCCTTTCCTCGATATCGAGCCCCAGGAGACACTGGCATCAGAAGTGCTGCCGGGTCTAATGGAAACATCCAGAATGACACCTCTTTCTCCTGCAGACAGGCCTATTGAGCCAGTGTTACAGAATCTACGAACCAGCTCAATCGCTCAAAATATTGACCCTTTGTTTCGAGAGGAAGCAGAGCAAAGTGTGCTAGGTGATCTGGTTCCACGAACCACCCAAGAACCTACGATCCCTTATGCTTCGGCGCGTCTTCAGGCTGTTCCTATGATATCTGAAATCTCATCCAGTGACCATGAGAAACTTCTAGAATTATGTAAGAACTCTGCTTGACCCACCATTTTATGAAAAGAGATCACGCTTATGATACCATAGATGACTCCGAATTCTGCGTGCTGCCTCTCACGGGGGACATACCTGGGGCAGTGAATCCATTTCGCTGCAAACGTCAGACGTCCCAACGATCCCGCCTTCTATTTCATTCCATCCTAGCGCTATGCTGTCAGCATCTAGGGCGCTTAGCTGGTAGCTGGCCAAGTGAAGCCGCTGAGCATCGCCGGAAAGCTGTTCAGTTACTTGAATGTGCATTACAAAGTAGCCCAGTGCTGAGCTTATTGGAGCCTATACTCATCCTTTTTACTCTTGATGCAGGTTATTTCCCTTGATCATACATGTGGCTGAGTGTTAACGTATGGCCTTAGTGTACCCTCTCCGCTACCGGGAATTGGTCAACTCACCTCATGCGGGCACACTCAGTGCTCCAAACCCATGGCGGCCCAAGCGCATTGACGACACCTCGCATTCGGTCACAAGTCGCAATGCTAATCTGGTAATAACTCGACACATATTTTCCCCTGAAAGTTGTGTTGCTGACCATCAGAATAAGGTGGGATGCCACACTGGCTTTGATATCTCGACAGAGTCCTATCATGGATCAGACATATCTGGACTTTTTGGTGCGATGGGAAGAACAAGATGAATGGTCTTTCTTCGATCTGACTGGGTGCCCCCGGGAATTATTGGTCCACCTGTTTGAACTTGCCGAGTTAGCCAAGCAGTGCGAGATTGCCTTATTTATGAAATGGCTGACTTTTGATATGACGCCTATCAAAAGAATCGAAAATGAACTGATCGGGTGGAAGAACGATGCAGACTCTCCATTGAGTGGCAATAATTCTAAATTGACCGAAGAAGACGCGATAAAGCAACTCGACGAGCAACAAGATCGCTATCACTGTGCTGAGGCCTGGCGATATGCGTTGCTTCTCTATCTTGAATATATCTTCAAGTGTGATCGCAAAAGACGGTCTATCAGCGTCAATAGACTAGTGCGCAAGACGATTGACCACATTCGATGCTGCCGACGAACATCACAGACTCAGAAGCAACTCCTTATCCCGGTCTTCCTCGCAGGCAGCGAGACATCGGATGAAGATATGCGCCATTTTGTGAAGGAATACTGTACTTACTGGGGAGAGAAATCTCGCTACAGCATGTTTAATTCTGTTCCAGTACTCTTTGACGAAATTTGGGCCTCAGGAAAATGGTGGGGTGCCGTGATTGATAGTAAGACCCGGCCTAGCTCTGGCCATGGACAGGGAACTACGCAATTATTATTTGGATAATGTTGGTGATAGGAATTGCATTGTCGCTTAGTTATAATTCCATCTACTGTGTCATTCGTTTGTATTGCTAGTCATATTGGTATTTTCAAGCAGTACTTTGTATGTATTATGTGTGTGTATATATATATACTAGATGTAGGCACTCGAATAAATTTTTTTTTGAAACGCTATAGAGGGAGGATCATTTTAGAAAGGGTATTAGCAATAACTAGAGTGATCATTGGCCGACAAGAAGGGAACTCGCTTTGTTTGAGCACACACACACGCTATATGCATTTGTTGTTGTGGATGCCTGGGACATCACCCCAGTTCGAATTTACTACCCATGAATCTCTTAGGGGTTTAGCGTGGACTACAAGACTTCTACAACTAATCTTAGCTTTCAGCGATTGAAATATTTGCCTTTGCTGCCACCATTAAAACAACTACCGGTACGACGTTTGTTTCATAATGTCCAAGATATGTGTCCTTGTCAGATTTCATAGTCTCTCTGTAGCTTAGCTTCAACAACTCTCTACTCAATACATCTCACATTCACCATGCACTTCGACGTAGTCATCTCCTGATAGTCCTATAAGAATGTGTATCACCAAAATGATCCGACTTAACCTAGACACGAGGAGATTCCACCATGTGATAAATATTTGCAATAGCTACCAGTGAGTCAATTCATTTCATATCATGAGAAGTTTGTAACAAATTACATAGTCCCATAATCGATCATTCTATCGTCGTTGTCGCTCCGGAATCTTGCTAGTTGAAGCTATTTGAAATGACGCTCTAGTAAATACATATATACCCAGGTACAATGTAAAACCCAGCTTCCAAATGAGCACGCCGTCGAACGGGATGTGTCTTTAGCACGAGACACCAATGAACTCCTTTGAAACTTCGATATAGACGAGGTCATTGCTATCGCCCTCGTAAAATATTCCGAACCTGTCGTCGCCGAGCGCGGTGACTGTAGAATAGGCCATTGAGCCTGACTGAAAGACTGCACCAGAAGACCAAGTCTCTCCGTCATCACAGGAATAGCGGATTGTGCCATTGCTTCGGCTTGTCTTGCTGTTTGCATTGGTAAACAGGAGGATCTTTGCATCGGCTGAACCCTGCGCCGCATCTGGATACATTCTTGTAATTGCTCCGTTGTTTCCTGGGTCAGGGAGCTGGGTTTCACTTGTTGGGGTTGACCAAGTTTCACCACCATCGGTTGAGGTTGCGACCTTTCGATATCCGCTACCATCACTTGGGCGTGAGTTCAGCATCAAATTGCCATTGGAAAGTTCCACCACTTTGTTCTCATCCATACCGGTGCCCACAACCTTTCCCATCTTCCATGTAGCGCCACTGTCGTCACTGTAGACGCTGTAGGCTTGCGATACCTTTGAACCGTCCGATTGGACGACCTTGCCGAGAAATTGTTGAACCAGGCGCCCAGCATGTGTGCCATATTTGAGTTGAATTCCTTCTCCGGATGAGGCAAATAGGCCGGCGATTCCACCGACGTTGGCTACGCCGTTGACAGTACTACCCACCGGTTTGATTGCTTTCGTAATTAGTGGAGGGGCACCAACATTGGCAGATGCAACAGGAGGTAAAGAGGATTGATGGTCCGGATCGGTGGTCCAGCTAATTCCTCCATCGGTGGAAACAGAAACCTCAGCGCTCAGTATATTCAAGTTGGTGTCGTCATTTCCGATCGCACTATTGGCGAATCCCTGGTTCTTCGAGAAGACATGGAAATTGAAAACCTTTCCAGTCTTGGAGTCAACCACATAGCTTGGGTCACTAAATCCGTATTGTTGGAGTGCAGATGTCTTAGGTTGACCTTGGGCAATATAGGTCGGCTCGCCCCAAGTTTCACCACCATCCGTACTGCGTTGTTGCATAATTGAGTTCGGGGATGGTGAATCTCCTCCATCTGGGCGCCCATCGTATGATGCCAGGAGGATACCATTGCCCAAATTCGCCAAGGCAACAATTCGGTAATATGGAAAAAATCCCGCTCCATTTGTTGTGAGCGTATGCTTGGCGGTGATGCTTGCGCTCGCCGCAGGAGTTGCTGCGGCGAGGATGACACATAAAGAGATAGCGCTCAAGATGGAGCACTCACGTGCAGAATGAACCAATTTGGAGAGCATCTTCAAGTTACTCCACGAAAGCACTGGGAATAACTGGGTTTCTGAGTGAAAGAGGAAGTATAAAAATAGGTGGCTGAGAAGATGGCCTGTAGTAATTTTTTGGAGGAACAAAGAGTCATTTAAGTAGGAGATTAAATTATAGTTCGAGCCTTGATCTGGATAATGTGGACGAAAGGAACAAATTGTAATCTATTCACTTAGATAGACGAAAAGGCAATAGTACATAGTATGTATAGATAGTTAGATAGTCCATGTCAATTTGACTTCCTTGGCGACGTGACTTTCCCCGCAAAATGCAGACCTCCGGAGATATCCACTGGTTCCGCTGGTTTATCCGCACAAGATCTGTATGCTGACTGCACTATCACAATCTCATTCTTGTAGATTTAAAGAACCGAAGTCAAAAAATAAGTCAGCCACGCGAACGCCATGCGATATCATCAACTTTCATGCCTCCACTAGATGTCTGAATGCGATCGCGAGGATCCGATCGGAGATCCGATCGGGTTGCATTTGCGACGCGATCGGGTCCAATATCACCGACCTCGATCCTCACACTAGGCAGGAATATGCGAATATCTACAGCAAGGAAGCATAGTACTTAATGAGGCCCAGAGTTCTAGTATTAGGGAACTACTATTATTCGCAACATTCACGGTAATCTATTCTTCAGCCATGGCATCCAACAGCAAGACAAACAAGCCATTCCCACCTGGCATTCACGGCCCGTCCATCACATTCTTTCAGGATGATCAACAACAGGAGATTGACTGGGCAACTCAAGAACGGCATCTGGAGTATATGATCACTTCTGGGATGCATGGCGGTATGTCTCATTGGCACAGATTTATGGAGGAAAGCTGATCGAATCATAGTTGTGCTCGCTGGCTCCAGCGGTGAATCAGCCGCTTTAAGTGTGGAAGAGAAGGGCCTGTTGGTCAAGAAAACTAGAGAGATCGCTGACGCCCATGGAAAGAGTGATTTCACTGTCACCATGGGCTGTTTGGCTGGCTCCACCCGAGACATCTTGGTTCAAATTGAAGCCGCCTGCAAGAACGGTGCTGATTTTGCCCTGGTTCTGGTGCCAGCTGTGTTCCATTGGGCGATGACCCAAAAAGCAATTACCGACTTTTTCGAAGAAGTGGGCGACCGGGCCCCCATTCCTATTGTGATCTACAATTTCCCCAACCTTTTGTCCGGATTGGATGTCAACTCCGATATGCTGGAACAACTTGCCGCCCATCCCAATATCTCCGCGGTCAAACTGACCTGTGGAGGAGTTGGAAAGGCAACAAGGGTTGCAGCACAGTTTCACCCCAGTCAGTTCACCAGTGTATCTGGAATGAGTGACTGGCTGGTGCCCGCATTTACCGCTGGAAGCACAGGTTGCATTTCAGGTGTTGCAAACATTTTCCCTCGGGTAAAGACAGACCCCCGCCATGGAAATAAGTACCGATCACTGATATATTTGGCAGGTCATGGTTGAAATTTACGATCTTTTCATGGCCGGGAAGATCGCAGAGGCTACTGCGCTGCAGAAGAAGCTGGTACAACCTGAATGGGGAATCGGAACATCAGATGTCAACGGAATGAAATGGATTATCGCCAGGGAGCGTGGTTATCCCTTGTCCAGTGCACACTGCCGCCGGCCATTCCCCAAGTTCGCAGATTCGGGGAAGCAAGACCGTGTCGTGCGATTGGTCGCACCCCTTCTCCCTGTTGAGGAGGAACTAAAGTCGAAGAAGGTGTAGATAAAGATCAAACAGTATAGCTATTGATGCCCGCTAGATGATAGGAAGTATGAAACAGAAAATCGCAAAATTACTAATCTTCATCACATGCCACATTCGCAGCAGTTTATACAATAGCGAAGGTGGTATAAAATAACTCCAGACACACAGAACGAATGTCTACGCGCTTGCCTCCCTCACGCTGTCTCCTTTGGGTCTCTTGTAGTACATCAGCAGTCATGTTCGCATTGGTAAAGACATGTTGAAGACCACGGATGGTATTAAGGACCCATTGGAATTCGGTATAGTCATCTTCCTCAGTACCCCATAGGAATAATGGCCATAACATGTTGACTGGTATAGATTCATTATTGTTGACCATGTAATGCACTATTTCCTTGATTTTGCACAGCGCTGTTACCGCTGCCTTGGAACGAACCAAATGACGGTGTGCAACTCGATGCAGGTGGATGTAGCAGGCGTAAAAGTTAGCGAGATACGTCTGGAATGAGCGAACAATAGTGGACGCGAGCGGCTCAGCCAGAGTATCACTGCCTATATTTCCAGCCACAGCATGGTCTGTCAGTGGTGGTCTCCGGTCATACAAGGATGATAGATCCGCCAAAATATCAGCTGCGATAGCCATGACCTCAGTCTCGTCCTCCACGCTTCCTCGGCTGCGGTGGTTATGAGCGATTCTAGTAATGCGGCCAGTGATGGTCTGAACTTCCTGGAAGAAGGCTATCCCAGGCTGGCATAGCAGATCATAGATAACCTCGTGCGCTCCGGGGTTGGTGGCGGAACCTATGCTTTGTGGCGTTGAGCTCGGGGAGGTTGAGTTTTGGGGCGAGGTATAGATTCCAGATGTGTCATTGACTAATACTCCTTCTCCACCCGCTGATGCCGCTCGGGCATCTAACAAACGAATCCAGGAGATGATTCGTAGCTCTAATAGCGCCGTTTATTAGCAAAAGGAGTATTGAGTTAGCGAATACTTCTACACACCTGTGGAGCCCAAGCCACTCCTATCTGATGCTTGCAGCGCATTATGCGCCTTTCCAAGATTCAAATAGGCTAGGTCCAATCGTGCAGTAAGGAACTGGATATCAAGTCAGCCAAAATACACAACAAATTGGCGCGGAGTCAAATGAACCCACATTTATATATGTAAGAAAGAAGATAGTAGCCAGAACGTATCTGAGTTCATTGTTGCTGATTGTAATTCCCCCCGCAGATTTTTCAAACTTTTGCGATAACTCGGTCGCAGCGTTATCGTAGTGTTGCTGGTGATCCGCTGTCCCCCCTGCACTCCCGGACTGTATGGCTTCGAATGCTGCGATCGAAGAGCGAAGCATCGGCGAAGACGTTGCCATGCTTTCAAGTAGTTCGCGCGCAGAAGCGCATCTCGGACCATTCTCAACTGGATCAAGAATTGGAGGGAGGTGTAAATGTAGCGAGCTTTCGACATCCAGATTCGTGACTGGGGATTGTTGTGGTGACTGTCGTGGAGGGAGAGACGAACTTGGGGAACCTGCGTCGCTAGATCGCGCCTGCTCATACGAAGTGTTTCCCAAGGCGGTAAAATCACCAAAATCTGGGAAATAAACGTTTTGGAACATGTGAAACCCCTGTGTGGGAGCTGTCATGGATTCAAAGTCAAAGAGCTGAGGCGAAGGAGATAGCTGATTGACCTCCAATGCGACATTTGATTTGGAAGGATCCGTGTCATTCTGTAAGGGGGACCGTCGGTATGGCTCATTCAATTTCCAATCACATTCCAGGTTCAGACGTTGGCAATGATAGCATCGAGGTCTGCGTTCATTGCATCTAACTTTGCGACGTTTGCACGTCAAACAACCATTCCGTGACCGAGGACCATATGGGCGACGGTGAGTATCTTCACGAGCGATGAGAGGTTGAGGAATCATTATTCTTGACTTTTTCGGCGCCATGAAGAAGGGGGAGGAAACAAAAACCAAAGACTAGATTTCGCTACCATCACAGGCTTATCGACTCCGCTCCGATGGCCGATGGCAAAAGTATTCAACCGTCACCATGCTACCATCCCATCCCCGCCTTATTGTTACTATTGGCTTGTCCAATTAGGTTCACGACACAAGGACCCCTCACGCCAAGAGTTGACGAATAGTTCTATGATTCCCATATCAAGGCGATAAGGCGAGTCCACATAAAAATGTTGTATTCAATGCTACAACACTATCATGATACTGCTACGCTGCAGCAGCACTAGATGGAGAAACTCGATCAAATATGTAGTGTGTCATTGTGAAAGGAGAGTTACTAAAAGTAGGATTACTAGTGGTTAGATAACGGAGTAATACCTACATATGTAGATAGGGTTTTGCGGGGGACCTGTCCAAGCTTGGGAGATGAAAAATATTTAGTTCAGCTACTTTATTAGATTATATCATTGTCTTGTTAGTTTACCAGTTTGGACATTAAGCTAATGTTATCTGCAGGTAGGTTCATCAGGTACTAGAGTTGGGGAGAATTAATTTTTCGACAGCTAACAGCTAACAGCTAACAGCTAGTAAACAACACTAGTTTCATACTACTGCACATTGTAGATTAGCTGTATATTAGATAATTCACGTGTATATTGAACGATATACTCCGTACAATCAGTTCGTATGATAAGTAGACTGGAAGTTTATACCCCGCGTCTTTCCCCAAAACAGAGATCCTCTATCTGCCTGCCTATTCGAGACAATTACACTTTCCCGTTTGGGTAGGCGAGCGGCTTTTCTGTAATAGGCAACCAACATCGGCTCTCTCGCTTTCCTCGGCCCCAATCAGGCCTAGTCGTCCCTAATCATCCCCCAACTCCATTCTCCCCTCCATCCACCACCATAACCGACCCGACCATCGGGAAGCTTCCCTGCTGGTATAATGTAGCAGATGTATACTATTATGGCAACATCAAAAATTATAAAAGGCACGTAGATTGGGAGTAAACTGAGAACCGTACAATTGACACTGGAATCTGGAAATCCAACCTTCAAACCTTGAAATTCGAACATTATGGCACCACTCCCAGAAGGAGTCGCAAAGTCCTTGGCGGAGACTAAAGTTGAATATAGACGCCTGGGAAACAGCGGACTCCGTGTCTCCGTTCCCATCGTTGGATGTATGAGCATTGGAAACCCGGAATGGGCAAACTGGGTCATTGGTCCCGAAAAGGCCCTCCCGCTGCTGAAGGCAGCTTATGATCGAGGAGTTAATACTGTTTGTGCCTTTTCTCACTTTGTTGGAAACTGAAAGCTGACTGAACCTAGTGGGATACTGCAAACATTTATTCCAATGGTGACTCGGAGAGGGTTATTGCCCAAGCAATCAAGAAATATGAGATCCCTCGGCACAAACTGGTGCTGATGACGAAGGCGTATAGCTGCGTCGGAGAGCAACAGTTTCATGCATACCCCATCATTGAGGATCTGAAGAGAACCAAAGATTACGTGAACCAGTTTGGTAAGCTTATGGCAACTATTTTCCTGGAGTAGACATACTAACTGCTGTTGAAAGGCCTCTCAAGATCCGCAATCTTTACTGCACTGGATGATTCTCTCAAACGTCTGGAAACAGACTACATTGATATCTTCTGGATCCATCGCTTCGACCCCGACACGCCAATTGAAGAGACTATGCACGCTCTTCATGACCTTGTTGTTGCTGGAAAGATCCGGTACCTCGGAGCCTCATCAATGTGGGCGTATCAATTTGCCATGATGCAGGCATACGCGGAAAAGAATGCGTTGACAAAATTCATTGCGATGCAAGTATGTACCGAGTCAAAAATTCCGACTAGATTACACGGACTGCTAATCAAGGAATAGAACCGTTACAATCTGCTGTATCGCGAGGAAGAACGTGAGATGATCAAGTATTGCAACGCAACAGGCGTGGCTGTTGTACCGGTAAGAAGACAATTAATCTTTGGATTATTTATAATCTTTTTGACTGACGGTTATGCTTTCTGACTAGTGGGGCCCACTTGCAGAGGGACAGCTTGCTCGTCCCCTGAATATCCGAGGAACTACTACTAGGTCTGCTGGTGGCGATGAAACTCCTTCGAGCCTGCGCCCTGAGTCCATGGAAATCATTAACAGAGTGGATGAACTAGCAAAGCGTAAGGAGTGGACTATGTCGCAAGTTACACTGGCCTGGCAGTTGAAACGAGTGACGAGTCCTATCATTGGGTTTAGCAGCATCGCGAGAATTGAGGATGCTCTATCAGCACGCGGTAAAGAGCTTACATCCGAAGAAGAAAAATACTTGGAGGAGGTATACACCCCTGTCGAGGTGGAGGGCCATTTCTAAGGGATCAATTTGCGCATAATTCCCCTCTTGAGACCTGTCGTCCTTTCTCTAAGTCCCTGAGCCATGTCTATATCAGCCTTTTTGCTTTTGCTCTGATCATATCATTCATGCATTGTAGGTATATAGATAGTATCAAACAAAATCCTCTACTACCAATATTGCTACTATACTCGGAATTGATCAACCTTAGTAGCCCCTTAGCACCAGGTATAGGAATCGAATTTGAACCAAGCAAGGCGTGAATCTCATAGGCATTCGGAATTTTGCTGTTCGATATATTGTATACCTTAAATCTTCTTCTTCGCTGATTTGATTAACACATAAGCTGGTATCTAATAATGGATTGCTGAGTGGCGGAGTAAAGAAATGATTACAGCCCGGTTGGAACATTCATACGACAAATGAGTGGACATGAAGTTGGATATCACGAACGGGCACTATAAGGGGCTATATAAAAAAGCGTATAAAAAGACCAGTGACAATGGTGACATGACACCGGCTTGGATGTCCTACGTCTCTAGTCACGGGAGAAAGGACTTTGTCAATGCCAAAATTCCTAAAAATGGGTTATATTGTGTCTAACTATCTCTGTTCTCGAGCTAGCCTGAGATCTCTAGCGCTACAAGTGCAGGGGAGCCTGCACTAATGCCCTATCGGTGGTTCCAGTGAGTGTTCCGTTCAATAGATGTACACAAACTCGTCATTCTTCCTGTCAGTCAAATCCACAAATGGTGCTGCATCAGTTGAAACTGGCCCCTGCACTTTCCCGTCCGTCTCAAACCCGTGGGTCATCGATCTATCTTGGATGTCCGCAGTTTTTCCATTGCTGACTCTTCTCTTTCTGTGCTGCTTGTTCAAAAAGGCTAGATTGAGGACTTGGAGGATCACACAGCCGACCAAAGCAATAAAGAGCCCAAGAACAGCCCGGATTCCGGGAAGATAGGTTGGAGCTTGTTCAGCAGTGAATAGAAGCGGACCGGAGAGGGCTCCAGCGGACGTACCAGCCTGGTAAAGGGCCAGCGTGGTTGATGTCTTGGCGGCGCCAGCAGTGTTTCCCACGACCCACGATAAAAGGAGCGGGTTGGCAGCAAACAAAAAGGCACAAAGATAATAGGCAAGTAGAAGCGGTCCTTGGTTGGACTTTTGGTGTGGGAGCGCGTAGAGCATTGCGATGCCTGTCACTACCGGGAGCATGAAACCAATTAGAACGGCGGATTTTAGCTTCAGCTTGTAAGAGGCCCAGCAACTGCCGACGATGACGATCGTTTGCATAGCGCCAAAAGGTATGTTGAGCAATGAAGTTTGGTAGGCGTCAAAGCCGAAACCTTTGACAATAAGAGGACCGAAAGTGCTCGTCATCGCTGATCCCATGTTTGGCAGCAAGGCCATGATAACCCAAAGCCAACTCTTAGGTTCCATGGCAACCTCGAGAACCTGGGACCAGTCGAAGTTGTAGGAAGCGGAACCGGTTTGATTTGCCCGCAGGCGTTCCACACCTTGTCTTCGTTCGTGTTCTGTGAGAAAGCGGGCGGTCGTGATGTCGTTGTCAAGTTTCCAATAAATCACGGGCGCGCTGACAATAGTGATCAATCCAACAACAAGGAAGATTCTGCACACCAATTAGCGATATTCCACATTATCGTCCGTGGTGACTTACATTTGCCACGGCCTCAACACATCTGAGGGGATATGACCAAGGCCATACGACAAGGCAGAAGCTACCATAGTCGCTGTTCCGTTCATTGAATTCCAAATCGAAACTCGAAGCGGTTGCTCGACGCGACGATACCATTGCCCAGTGAGAATGGTAAAGAGTGGCATGCACCCGGCCTCGAAGAGACCCAGGAAGAAACGAACGGTGACCAACCCGGCAAAGCTGTGGCATGCTGCAGTACTTGCTGCTGCAATTCCCCAACAGAGCACCATGGATGGCATCAAAATACGGGGTGGAACCTTCACAATGAGCCATGCCGAGAATGGCTGCCACGCTAGCTGCGCGATAGGGGCAATTGACGAAACAAGAGAATACTGGCTTCCGACGAGACCCGTGTCCTCCTGGAGATTGAAAATTGAAGCAGTTCCTAGGACGCCCTTGTCCAAGACCTACCCGGTGGCTAATCAGCATTGTCTAGGATGGGTGATTGATTTGTTTTTCTCACCTGCAGGAAGTAGACCCAAGTAAGGATCGTCAGAATCGTTTTATCAGTCTTTCTTCTGATGTTAAGGTTCTAAAAGGACATATGTTAGGTAGCTATCTTTTGCGAGAGACCATCATGAGTGAAATACCTCTTCATTCGTCAAAGTCACCATCACACCTTCTTCCACCATCCCCGGCCCTGACCTGTCCGAGTCGGCTTTTAGATTTACAGACTTTGAGTCCGCAACAGATTCAATATCGTGAGTGTCCATGATGAGCGAATTCCACCTGTTCTCGGTACTATAAAACTGAAGAGGGAAGTCTTGAATGCGCAAAATTGGAAATGATTAGAGGAGATCCTGTCAGGATCTTATACAGTTCCCCCGGAAAGCGATTAGTAGCTCTGCCTGATAGCACAATCTTAGGAAACTTAATTAAACGACCAATCACTTCTCTATTGATTGCCGATCGCGTATCTCAAGTCTGGGGTAAATCGTAATCTTGTTTCCCCAGAGTGGGACCCGGGTACTTAGCGTATAATACCCTGGCCTCACCTACCGAAGGTGGTAATGTTCTAATCTCAGAATCAGATGGTTGGTATTCTAGTATCGATATTCGGAAATGCCCGCCCCCAATCTCGTTTATTACACTAAAGGTTACACTCCTTGCTCCGGCAAGAATTCGTTATTTCAAGATTTCATATTGGAGATAAGATATCTCGGGTAATGTTTGACATTCGATTGGTTATTTTCGTATTTGAACTGCATTTATCTAGGGTTTTAAGATAGTCCAAGGGGTTAAAAAAGAAAATACAAAACACACAGACAGATTTGGTGTAAATGTAGCGTCACATTGGATGATAAGCCCCCAAGCGAGGGTGATAAGCGGTTTTAGTCGACGCCACTGGATAAGCAGGAATAGTAGAGTGGACCTCCGAATCCTCGCGTAAGCGATTGGTGGACCAGATCTGTTTTCCGACCGGATTAAAATAGTAGATGCTGCAGCACGCGTTTAATCCATGCGAGCTTTGAGGAAACACCTCTCCTATATGGAACCAGCCGATCGGGTGTCGGGAGGTCGGGAGGAAGCTTGTCATTGTCAGAAGTATACTCTTGTGTCTCTAACCAATCGGTTTCTTCACTTGAACGGCAGTTTGGGGATAGATAAGTGGCTCATCTCTGCTCTCATTCCAAATGTAGCAAATTTTTCAGCTACCAATCCTGGAATTCTGGTGAGCATATATCCTGGCTAGAGAGCTATAGAGCCTTAAAGCTTAGCTTCTTGTGTTAATACGGGTAAAGGAATTACCGAGTATCTCAGGCCTTCTCCTATTTAGACAGAAAATACCTACCCCCTCTTTTTCCTTGACCAGTAAGCGTCGCTTTCCACCCTGACTAACAGATGACACTAAGAAAACCCCGAATTGACTAAATGCTCTATAGGAATGCCTCCCAATCAAGACACTCAGATCATTGGTTATGCCGAACCTTGGATTGTTTCCCCAGGAGACCTGGTTGACATCAAAGTACGTTATTTGCACCCGTGGTCAGGGCCCCGGGGGTGTTCCCCAGATTAGCGGGGTACCTCGGTACCTTTCGAACGCTAACCCGTTTCAGGTTTCGAGTACGGAAAAAGAGTACGATCACCGTTTAGTACGCCTTGTTCAGGGGTATAGCGGTCCTCATGCACCGCCTGTTGTGCTCGAGGACATCACCGAGGTGCCCGTTGGCCACCACGAGGATGGTTGCTATCAAGATGCTTGCTCAGGCTCTTACGCTCTTATCCCATCCTGGGCAGAGGTGACACCCACAGTGGAGGAGGGCATCGAAATACAGTTTCACGCACAACCATACTTGCTTAATGTCGACTACTATTGCCAAACGCTTATATCCTGTCTCGACATATCTTCTCGAACTGGATTCGCAGTCGTTTTGAGAAACTCGAAGCTTGAATTTTTTATCGGCACAGGGGATAAAATCCAGGTTATTCAGAGCCAACTTCTCGTCAATCGCTGGCGGTGGCTCCAAATTCGGCTCAGTGTTGTGAACAGCACGTTCACTTCAAGTATCCATCAGTTGAACCGTCTAGCCGAGACCGCCCCAAAGGGCGAAACGATGACTACCGCACTGTTGGCCCCCATGATTTTAGGTTCGAATTCGTTGCTATTTGGTGCAGGCATGTTCAAAGACATTGATCAAAGGAGCTCTAAACCATCAAGCTTTTACAATGGCCGAATCGACTCTCCTTCCTTTACCATGACGAGCTCATCACAGCGCACAGTCGCAAAATATGACTTCTCCAAGGACATCCCCAGCGACTCTATCGTTGATGTTTCTGGAAACGATCGACATGGTGTGTTGATCAACGCACCCACACGAGGGGTCAAGGGATTTGACTGGGATGGCACTCAGCCAGACTGGACCAAAGCTTCGTACGGGTATGGGGCCATTCATTTCCACGAGGATGATCTGGATGATGCAAAATGGGAAACAAACTTTTCCATTACAATCCCATCGCAAGCTCGGTCCGGTGCATATGCCGTTGAAGTCAAGTGTTCGGATGGAACAAGCGACATGATCACTTTCTTCGTCCGACCAAATCCTCTTTCCACGGCAGAGGTGGCATTAGTTCTCACAACATTCACATACCTCGCGTATGCCAATGAGCGAATGTTTGATGAGACCAAATCATCAGCAATGACAACTCCAGACGGAGTTAGCATTGGACAGGCAAATGAGTATTATAAAAACCTAGACCGACGACCGGATTTAGGTCTCTCGGCCTACGATGTTCACACAGACGGCTCTCCCTGCGCATACTCCAGTGCTCGCCGACCGATACTCAATCTCCGACCCGGATATGTACACTGGGCCTTGGACCGGCCTCGTGAATTCAGCGCTGATCTTCTCATGGTTGGTTATCTGGAACGTTCCGGAATTCCCTACGACATTATCACCGATCATTGCTTGAGCAGCAGAGGCCAGGAAGCAACCTCCCAATACACGACAATCATCACCGGCTGTCATCCTGAATACCACTCTCTTGATTCTCTCGACGCCTTTAGCGCATTTGCAAAATCGGGGGGCAATATGATGTATTTGGGTGGAAACGGGTTTTACTGGGTCGCCGATGTTGTCAATGAACGGCCTCATCGCCTTGAAGTTCGGAAGGGCGACCAAGGTTGTCGGTCCGTCACTTTCCCCGCCGGTGAACGGATGCACAGTCTCACCGGAACCCTTGGAGGATTATGGCGCAGTCGCGGTCGTGCTCCCAACTACCTCTGGGGTATTGGGCCATGTGCGTTTGGTACTGGAAAGGGAAAGCCTTATATCGCAGATTTACGACATGCGCAGGATGCCCAGTTTAGCTGGATTTTCAACGGCATAGACCCAACTGAGCCGATTGGAGAAAATGGCTTCGGTGGCGGCGCCAGCGGTGACGAGATCGATCGCCTGGATTATGCGCTTGGGACACCATCTAACACAGTACTGTTGGCAAGAAGCCAACAGCATGATGATAGCTTTGGACTTTTCAATGAGGACTCGATGTTCCCCATGGTAAATACCCTCGGTTCCAACTGTGACATGGTCAGAAGTGACCTAGTATATTATGACACCGCAGGAGGTGGATCGGTATTCGCCGTTGGCAGTATCAACTGGTATTGCAGTCTCGCGTGGGACGATTATAATAACGATGTAGCTACAATGACTGGCAATGTGTTGAGATCGTTTGTGAGAAGAGGGAAAGGCGGTGGTATTAAATGAGATTCCCAGATGGAAAGAACCGAGCCAGAAAAAAAAAACAAAACCGAGAGGTGGTAGAACTAGACAATATTTTATCTCTTTAGTTTTTTTCTTTTTATGTTGTACTCCCCCTGGAGGTCTTGTTCAATGTGTCAGTAATATATATATTGTTGAGGTTGATATCTCAGGTAGAGATAAATCACTTGCTGATAACGATCTTTTCCAAGGTTCGTTTTTGTCTCTCTATCTTCCTCCCTCTTGCACAAGGATATTCTTTTTGTTTACGAAAAAGGTAGCAATCACCAGCAGCATGGAGTTGGTCGAGGCGACCGTTTTTGAAAGCACTCGTGAAGCTCTAGAGCATTTGTGTAGGCAGGTCTTTTGGTTCCCCTCACTTCGAACAGAGCTAACCTTGTCACGTCGAGAATAGGATTTGGGGAATCATTCGTCATTTCCTCCCATGCATTGCGTATCACATACCATAAATGAATTAACGACGTCTCAGTGACACTTAAAAACTCTCTACTTGTCGACATCATCAAAGACCGAATTACCACCCGACGCTTGACCTTGATACAGAACCCTGAGCTGAGGGTACGGATCATCCGCCGACCAACAGAACTCGGCATATTTATGGAGTTTAGTGAAGCTCTGAGTTAAATTGCTTGGTTCTTGAAATTCAATTGTGAAACACAAGAAATTAAAGCCTGTTATGGGTAAAGGACATGTTTATGAGGCTATCGTGTGATATGCTTACAATTGGTTGCCAAATTACTCCCATTCATCAAAGCAGCGACACTGTATTTTGTAAACAATGGGTCATTCAGTACTTGGCTCAACTCACCAGTCGGGGTTCGTTGTTCCCAAACCAGGCCATGCTGTAGTCAACGCCGGTGACTCCCTTAAGTTCCTATCTGGTCACCAGCTATCTTCGTGGTAGCGACCGTGTTAGACACCGCACCAATTCTTGACTCTATTCGAGCCTTCCAAGCCCAGAATGAAGGCGAATTTTTTAAATCTCATTTTATGATGCGGCAATCTCGCCTGGGTCGAAATTCATAAAAAAACCATTAGATTTGGAGGAAGGAATAGTGGCTAAAAGTGCATTTAATTTGGCCCACGCCAGAAAAGACCACACTGACGCAAGCCCTCTTAGTCTACCCGCCCCTATGGGGTGATCGAGACCTGGTTTGAGGAATAATGAGCATACCTAGTAAGCCACAAGTAAATGTAGCCAATAAGCTCAACTACGGTGCAAATAGGCGGAGATAGGCGGAGCAAAGACGGACCCCCGATGCTCTAAGGTGGTTTGCAGTTAAAAAGATAAGCTTTTTTACCCTCTACCTACCTATTCTCTTCCCCACCTCAAACTTCGTATATTTAATTTCATTTGCTTCTACAGCTTCCAATCGATATTTATTCCTTAACACAAAAATATTTCCCCTCCGATATATTAAAACCTCGATGCCGAAAATTATGTATTCAGATGAAGATGGTACTGCTTCGAAGGAGTCGGAAGCAATTTACTGGGATCGCACACGAACTATATGTTCTTTGAACTCCCTATTATCGCTTTTGGGGGTTGGCGCCTTCACCCTGAGTGGTGAATATGCCAAAGAGCATAAGTCTTGCAATCAGCCAATTTTCTTTGCTAAAGTTCTGTGGGCAAGTTCCTCCCTCAGAACAGTTCCCATATTTCTGGAAACCGCAGCTAACTTACTGTCTAGCCTCTTCTGTTACTCAATAGCCTTTGTTTACATTGGGTTGATAGCCCAGTCAAGTTATATACCGCTGGTCTCAGGGGGTCGGTACTATCTGCTCTTATTATTCTAACTCAGACCCTTGCAAAAGCTCAGCATAACGAAGAGTCTTTTTTCGATTTTTCGTCATCATCCTTCCAACTGTTTACAGCTTTTATCCTTGCAAATCTTCAATTTCAATTTCCACGTCGACCGGACATTTTCTCCCCAGAAGGACGACCTGTGGATTTTGAGAATAGTTGCTCGGCGTTCCAACGATACTCAATGCAATGGTGCACCGGAGCTCTTTCTATTGCTGGAAGCCTTGGGATAGGTCAACTACCGTTGTTAAATTATCGAACTCAATCAAAGGCTCAGCCAATGATAGCGCTTTCTGGGATTTCACTGTGGGATCATGTTCTTGCTGAGCGTTTCCTGGGATTCGCTAAGCAGTGGAGTCTGATGTTGATACGATCAGTGGTGACCTTCGGTTCTCCATACTGCATCATGCGCTTGATCAAGTGCCTGGAGGAGAACAATAGCCCTGCGCATTTTGCCTCGCTGTGGTTAATTGGTATTACGGTCTTCTCTGTGACCGAAACCGTCCTCCACTATCACCTAGCTTGGATCCAATGGTCTGAGATGGGGATTCCCATTCGCGCACAGCTCATAATGGCAATATTTTCGAAGTCCCTAAGAGTTAAGGATTCCAAGGATACGGGAGACAAGCCTGAAGCGATCAATCTCATATCCTCTGATACGCTTTCCTTCAGCAAGTTCACTGCCGTTAACTATTTACTTCCCTTCTCATGTGTCAAGTTCTTATTTGCTGTACTATTTCTCCTGCGCTTGTTGGGTTGGCAGAGCACGGTGATGGCAGTTCTTGCCACAATAGGAACCGTACCAATACATACAAGGGTTCTCAAGCAAGAGCGAGCCGCAAAAGAAAGGGTTGCAGCGGCAAGAGATATGAAGACAAAAGCTATTACTGAGGCTCTGCAGGCTGTTCGGCAGATCAAGTTTTCAGCCCTTGAAAGGCAGTGGGAAGAACGCATCGAGTTGTGTCGCCAAGAAGAGATTGCGCAAATGCGAAATTGTTTTATTGCCATCAATATTCGATCAGTTTGGAAAGTCGCCTCACCTTTTATTGTGGCTGCTGCAGCAATCTGCAGCTATGCCTACACACAAAACGAGGTATCATCATCAATAATCTTTACTATGATCGACTTGCTACCGCACATACAAGGAACTCTGGGAATGGTTCCCATGGTCCTTCAAGATTATTTCGCCGCTCACTCAAACGCTCGTCGCATAGAGAGCTTTTTGAAGGTCCCGGAGATGAAAGGAATCTTGCAAACAAGTCCTACACGCTGTGTTTCCTTCCAAAATGCTCACATTGCCTGGCCATCAGATCAAACGCAGAAGCCCAAAGAGAAACAAGCAAGCTTACCTCAGCGTTTTGCTCTCCATGACCTTGATGTGGATTTTCCTGTTGGTGAACTTAGTGTTATACATGGGGAAACTGGATCAGGGAAAAGTTTGGTGCTTGCTGCCATCCTTGGAGAGGTTGATCTCCTTGGCGGTCACATTAAGGTCCCGTCGCTGAAGCAAACGGTCGGATTTGTTTCACAGACCCCGTGGCTTCAAAATGCCACTGTCAAAAGCAACATATTATTCGGAAGTGCATTGGATGAAACCAGGTACCGAAAGGTTCTCAAAGCATGCGCACTTGAGACTGATCTTGCTGCTCTGGCAAAGGGAGACGAAACGTATATTGGCCTGCATGGTATTAAGCTTAGTGGTGGCCAACGAGCAAGAGTATCTCTCGCTAGAGCTCTCTATTCTAACGCTACACTACTGGTCCTAGATGATATATTTTCTTCGCTTGACTCTCATGTCTCTATTGAGATTTTCAAAGCCTTAACTGGAGAGCTTGGCCATGGCCGCACAAGGATACTGGCAACTCATCATGTATCTTTGTGTTTACCTCGGGCCAAGTTTGTTGTTCACATCAAAAACAATACTATGAGCTCTTCTCCCAATGTCAAAATGATTGAACCGAGATTGGAAAGTGTGAAATCAGAAATCCCGACCCAGCCGCATACATCGACAAGAGAGGAAACCAAGACTCGTGCCAGTGAGAACCTTAAAGTCAAGACCACCCAATCGGAATCTGAGTGGGAGTCTTGCAAGACATACTTCAGTGCTGCCGGTGGCCTGTCATTTGTATTGATATACATTCTGGGTTTGTTTGGTAAAGAACTGGTGACTGCGCTGACGACCTGGATGCTCAGCCGTATCAGTTCAAGACCCTCGAAATCAGGCATGTATGAACCAGCAGATGTCGAGGTTTGGAGTAACATGTGGTCCTATCTGTACATGTATCTCTTGGGATGTTTATCCGCAGTCATCCTTGAGTGTCTCTTAAATATGCACATCTTTTCTGGATCATTGCGTGCCTCGGCGACCTTGTTTCGCACGATGACCGCAAATGTCATCCGAATGCCCCTTCTGTGGCCTTGATACTACGCCTCTTGGGGGAATCTTGAAGCGATTCACGGCCGATACAAGACAGGTTGACGACTTTTTATTTGAGACTATGTCTGAATTCGCCAACTGTCTTATAAAATTGGTGATTATTGGGTGCATTGGGTAAGGCTTGTTTCTGCTACGAAGTCAATCAGTTAGCTAATGGAGTCTAGAATACACAAGTCTATCCTTACGACATGTCTAGCAGCAGCTCTTTTGTTTTGGTGCGCGCACGTCAGCAAGGGCTACATCAGGGCCCGGAAGCCTGTGAAACGCGGTGAATCTGAGGGCAATGCTGAAACCCTAGAACTCTTTACCGCAGTCGCCGGTGGAGTGTCGACTATCAGGGCTTTCGGAGTAGTGGATAGCTTCATGGACCAGATGCACTCACAAGTTGATAAACTATCCATCGCTCGGCGGCATTTTTGGATTTTCAACCGTTGGCTTGGTCTTCAGATGTCTCTCATGGGCATTGTCTTAAGTACGGGTACGGGTTTCATTCTATTGTCATCGAACTCCGTCCTCGATGCATCTTTGGTGGGATTTTCCCTAACTTTTTCGATGGGATTCTCTCATGCTACATTTACTGCTGTCAATAATTTTGGGATGCTTGAGAGTTATATGAATGCAGCCGTCGGAATAATCTCATATTCGAGGTTGAAAGCCGAATGGCAAGGGGGGGACGAAGTCCCAGCGACCTGGCCGTCGCAGGGACAGGTTGAAGTCAAAGGATTAAGTGTTTCATACTCGCCGGATCTTCCCCTTGTCCTAAAGGACATCTCCTTTTCTGTGGGTGCTGGTCAGAGAATTGGGATTGTTGGTCGCACTGGAGCCGGAAAGTCATCCCTGACTCTGGCACTTCTCCGCTTAATCAACCCTCAATGTGGCTCGGTTCACATTGACGGCGTTGATATTTCTACAATCAAGCTACAGTCACTTCGATCCAAGATCGCCTTCATCCCTCAAGATCCAGCTTTGTTCTCAGGTACAATTCGATCCAATCTGGATTATTTTCAGAAGGTTTCAAAAGACAAATTGAACGAGGTGTTACGCCGTGTCAAGCTGCTGTCTGAGGATGACAATGACAAAACGGGCTTATTTACACTCGACTCCCCAATTAGCGCAGGCGGCGCGAACATGTCGCAAGGTCAAAGACAACTTCTTTGCCTTGCAAGAATCTTGATCACAGACCCCAAGATTATCATTCTCGATGAGGCGACATCTGCAGTTGATAATGATACAGACTCATGGATTCAAGACACGATTCGAAACGAGTTTGATTGCACGTTGATTGTGGTCGCCCATCGTTTAAGAACAATTGCGTCCTTTGATAGAGTGGTTGTCATCGATGATGGGCGTATTGGCGAAATTGGAACTCCATCAGAGCTATTAAGAGCTAACGGATTGTTTTATGACCTTGTACAAAAGAGTCAAGATAAGGAATTTGTGACCAGGTCTTTATTGAACCTAGTCACATAATACACTAAACCAATATGGTGATGTCAGTATTTAAAGATCCGTTCCGGGATTGAATGGTTATAATACTAAACACGTAAAAAGCTGATTAGGCTGTGTTTATATGTACAATAACTTATGACATCAGGCCAGAAAGTTTTCTCCTGCAAGCGGAAATTAGGTTGACCTTGTGCAAAGAAGATGACGGCTACATTACATCTGGAAACTGGTGGCACCACCTAACTAACTCGTGCTTTGAAGCGGCTAGATTGGGCGCCATTTGAGTGACCACTTATGTTTGATTGCCCATGATGTTTGTACCAAAGGACGAGAATTTTAAAGGTGGGGGCATCGAGGTGTCAATTCTATTGATGATATCGTTACCATAGATTCGGTTCCATCTTCAAAATTCAACATATAGGCCGGGCTGTTCGGCGGAGTGGTCGCAGAGGGCGTCCAGCATCATAGGGGCGATGCTAGATATGTTGATTGATTGGATCGGAGATGTTGCACTACCAAACAATAGCATGCAATCTTTCACACAAACTCCCCGCCTGGCAATTGCTGGTGACAAATCTTCCTCGTCCCCTGTTGCTTCCTAACTATATCCAGCAAATTAATGGCAGAAAAGTTCCTCTGCAGATGTAGTGCCGGTAGTAACACACGCCCAAGAGTAACCAAGTGGATCGGTAATAAGCCCAGCTCCCACTTTGTACTTGTTACAGTAGTCCAAAGGATGAAGAATGTTTGTTAGAAAATCCGATATCCTTGCGGCCACATTCATGTCATCTCCTGCATATTTTGCTACCTGGCACCACATAGGATAGCCTGGAACTGCCCCCAATGTCGCATAGCCGGATCGTAGCAGTTTTGATAGATCTTGCCGAAGTTTGCTTGTCGGGTTGTCACACACATGGATATGGATTTGCTCCTGGGATCTCGTGGCAACCGAGTTCATAGCTAGAGATCCACTCGCCCTGGTATATTTCACGGCAGTATCCTGAGGGTTCCTGAGGATAAACTGTCCGAGTGACCAGCCTAAATCTGGCAGAGGCGCTTGATCCAATTGCAGGATTCCAGGCAGCTTCTGTGATGTAGTGATCAACCCGGCGGGCGCCTTTTTCGACAGTAGCGCCCATATTGGGTTGCCCGGTACTTGTACTTGAAAACAATCACCGGGGTTTTTCAGACATTGACAGAGAGAGCCATACCACACATAGCAACCGTTGCATCCAAAATTAGCGTCGACACAGCCTTCACCCCACAGGATCTGACCCCCATTGTTTTTATAAATTGGTACAACTTCGGTCGGTGGTGAACCACACTGCGGCGCTAGTAAGGGACATTGCACAGGAACACCGCTCTTTTGACAATCACAACCATTCACCGATAAGGATGAAATCTGATTTGCGGTGCACTGCGCAGCTTCTGTATTCTTGGTCAGAACTAGGAATAGAACTGCGATAATGAACAGCGGGTTCAAGGCAAGTTGATCTTTGAACTTCATGCTGTCGGTTCGGTAATGTTTCAATTCAGAAGGGATAATCTGTTGTAAGGAGTTGTCTGGAGGATGGCAAGGCAAAGAGCCCTCAGAGCGATGGATGAAGAGGGCGTTCTCTTTTTTATTACTCATAAGGAAACCAGGCCATTCTTCTACCTAAATGGAATGATCATAAATACCGTTTGCAGAGAACATTACGTCATAGAATCTTCTTTTAAACTTGCTGTCTAGCCCTGCCGTTCGACATGACCCAAGATAGATACCCAGAGAAACGCCATGCCCTCTGCAATGAAGCAACCGAGAGATAAGAGGAGAGTAGTTACTAGATTGCCAATAACCGGTTTACTTAGTTTGTATGGAACCTTTTAGATATTCTAGGCCTCTGATTCTAGACCCTTGAATCTTTCATTATGGTTTGCCAACGGCTAATTCCAATGAAGTTTATTCTTTTATCTAGTGATTGTGGTCACCAAATCTGATTTTGCCTTCAGGTTACGAATTTGGCCCTTTCTCTTCATTTTGTTGAGATATTTTATCTATTCTAGGTCGCAACTTGAAGCCTACTACATCACGAAACTTATACCTCTGAGCCGGAATAGATAGGAATATACAGGCAATTAAAAAATGGCGGGGAGAGAGGAGTCGTAGATTCGACGAAATGAACAATCTGCTCAACCGGGTTTGAAGTAAACAGTTGTTTGTATTTACTCAATTTACATGCCGAATGCTCTAAGACCTCAAATATGACCATATAAATCAAATTGTCACGCTAGACCGCTAGAGTGAGTAGTTCTAAAATAATTGTTTGCCTAGAAATTAATTGACCATATTATCTATCTAACTCGTCGAATGAATCACCACTCCCCTCATGAAATTTGATTAAGAAACTATGGGTTGCGAAAATACTCGAACCAAGTAGCGATGACTGACGTATAAACCTACATCGGAGTAATTGTCGAGGTCTTGAATGAGGGGTTGCTTCGCTCCGCGTGGTTGCTAACCGGAGACTGCAACTCGGAGCATGCGCTCTTGCTTGAATCTTGCGTGCACCATGATTGCAGCCACCACCGCGCAGGGTTTTGTGGTGATGGTAATATTTCTCTCTTATCCGCAGAGTCTTGCACCGGCATTTGTTCCAGCTAAGGTTTGACAAGCAATATATTTGGAAATGCTGTAGTCGGGGCTTTCTTACATCGAGCTACGCACACCGCTACTTTAAGCCACAATAGTTGACGGAGACTGTGGCAGGTAAAATCCAATATAAGCATGTAATGAATTGGACCGACCAATTTGACCAACGTCTTTGCCCAGTAAACATAGATCACTCAAGACTGCCAAGCCACTAACATTTCAGACGGCAACTAGGCGTTACAAAGTGAGCAATTTCCACTCCTCATCCAACTTGTTCCGGAAAGCAGAGATCTAAGTCGTTTATTGTAGATTCTTTCATGCTACTTCACGTGGTGAGTTCTCTATTAGCTAAAAACAGGCACATACTACAACCTCTATATAGGGGTATTTACTATTTTTTTATTTTTTATACTTACCCATATCATATATAAACTCAAATGTGAAGCCTATTTATTTTTACCTATTTTATTTAATTTGTGGTGGGGGTTAGAAGTTTTTTAACTAGATTTATAGCTTTGGTTTAAAATTCCGAATTAGGTTAGCGTTTGGTCTAAAATTCCTAAAAGGGAATTGTTAGTCGAAAATGTAGTAGAAGTTGTCTGTATTTCGGACTATCCTATTCTCCTATATTTTCGACCATACTATTCTTCTGTATTTCTAGCTATCACCTACCCCTAGAAATTCAATAATATTAAATTTCTATTTTAATATATTATAGATACTATTTAGTACTCCTAGTTAGTAAATACCGCTATATAATTATAATTTCTATTTATTAAAGTAGAATATAGCCTAAAATATAGTAGTTTATAGATCTAGTAGTAACCCTCTATTTAGACCCGCTAAGATACTAAGGAGGGTCTAAAGTCCGGATTCTAGACCCGCTAAGGAAATTATATATATATAACCTATCCTAATTAGGAAATAATATACTTATAAACTATAATTTATATATATTTATATTAAAATTTAGGTTTTAGTAGGTTACTAGACCCTCAGAGGGTCTAAGGTTATAGACTACCTAGAGGGTTACTACTAGGTCTAGTAGTTCACTATGATTTAAAATTAATTATTATCTAATAGTTAGAAATATAGTAGTTAATATTAGTCGAAAATACTAGAGAACCTAATAGTCAAAAATACAGAGGTTCGGCTTAGTTAAAAATATAGTAGAAGATATCTATATTTTAGA